ATTGAGCCCCACGTCAAGCTCCATGCTGAGCGTGGAGCCTACTTGGGATTCTCCCTCTGCCCCTTTCCCTGTGCTCTTGTGGTCTCTCTCTCTCACTCTCGATTTTTTTTTTTCCAGAAACCAAGGCTTTAAAAGATGAGAAGGAGAGTGGGAGAAAGGAATTGAGTGTCAGAGGCAGAAGGTGTGGGGGAAGAAGCAAGGTTTGCAAAGAAGACAGGCCTTCCCAGATGAAGGAAGGCAGGGAACTGGAGCAGAAACAGATAGAAAGCACCCTGGGGACATGGCTGGAGAGACTGAGGCTAGTGCGGTGGCACCTGGAGGTGAGAGAGGTAGAAGCGCCCTAGTTCAGCATCTTGTCCAATACGACAGCCCAAGAGCAGCCAGAACTGTGCTGCCGAGAGGCAGGATGGAAGGGAAGACAGCAGCCAAGGGGCAAGGGCAGATCCACGCATCGGCAGTGACCTTCCATTCCCTCTGCTGCCGCATCTCACTGTAACCCAGGGTAACTGCTTCACCACTGCCCTCCAGTCACCCAAGGCTTACGGCCGCCCTGACTCCCCACCTTACCCCCTCCCCCCACACACACGTGATGCCTCATGAAGTTTTCTTTTTCTACAGTCCCGTGATTCTGAATTTTGCATGTTACAGACCTGCGCTGGCCAATATGGTATCCACCAGCCACATTGCGAGCTTCGAGCCCTTGACATTTGGCTAGCTCGAACTGAGACATGCAGTGAGTGTAAAATACACACTGGGTTTCTGCAGGGGAACTGCTCTGGGCTGGGGCCCTGCCGACCTTGCACTATTAATTAAGACAGGACACGTAGGCGAGGCTCCACTGCAGGCTGCCCCCGGCCTTGGCAGAATGCCCCGTGATCCTCCCGAAACACGGGAAGATAGGCCATCTCATGAGAAGTCGCTGCAAGACCATTTCTCACTCACCTCCCTATCTCGAGGGAAGCTTCTGGGAGGCAGTTTCTCATCGGCCTCCCTCATTTGGGTGAGGCACAGAGCTTTTGGCCTGCCATACCACCCGCAAAGGGGGCAGGGTAAAGGCCATAAAACTGCTTAGCGGCAGTGTGGAATTGGCCACTCAGCAATAGGATGTCCCACCATTCATGTTGCGTGTCCTGGGGCCCCTTCTGTTGCGGCGTCATCCCGTGGGACGAGGAATGCAGGGAGGTGATACCATTGCTGATCTTGCTTTTGCTGTCTCTATGAGTAATAAATTGTCGGGATATATGTGGGTTTCTTACTTTGTTTTGTTTTGTTTTTTTTTTTTTCCAGCTGAATCTGTCAGTCTGCTTGGCAATTTCTAAAACTTAGTAAAAAAAAGAATTACAAAGTATCTTAATAATTGTTTTATACTGATAACATGTTGAAATGTTTTGGATATACTGGGTTAAATGTTAAAGTTAATTTCATCTGTTTCTTTTTTTAAAATTTGGCTGCTAGAAAATTTGTGTATATGGCTGGCATTATATTTCTATTGGGCAGTGCTTTTATAGATTGGTGAGAAAAAAAAAACTGGTGGTGGGGAAGAGGGACTCACAGGGTTTTATTTTGCCAGAAAATGGCATTTGAAAAATTTATGTTCATAGTTTTATTCCCATAGTTACAGGCACATTTTAACACTCCAAAAATATATATATACCCATAATAAAGGACAGACCTTTAAATTGAATAAATGTAACTCTATGGGAACTCACTGCATTGTCCTGATTTTTCTCATATTGCTTCAGGCTGGTGAAAAGTCCCTCAGATTGATGAGGATGGTATTTAAGTACTATTGCTGTAGAGAGCTCCACCTCGGAGGGGATAAGTGGCTAATTTGTGTGGGATCTTGAGAGGCAACCAATCCAGGTAACAATAGTGGATGGGGCTAGTGCAACAATAGTGGATGGGTTTCTTTTTTCTTTTCTTTTCTTTTATCTTCTTTTCTTCCTTTCTTCCTACCTTCCTTTCTTCCTTCCTTCCTTCCTACCTTCCTTCCTTCCCTTCCTTCCTTCTCTCTCTCTCTCTTTCTTCCTTGTCCAGCAGGTGTTGAACTCATCAGGTAGCCTATGTTTTTTAGTATTCCTGTGGCTTCTTGGCCCACCCTCTCTTCCCACACCCAAATAAGGGAAGGCTGTGGAATATCAGAGTATAACCGGAAGAACCAAAGTAAACAAATACAAATTTATTATTTTCAAAGTAGAATTCCAAGGAAAGGGGAAAAGCACCACGGTGAGTGGCAAAGTTAACCAGTTTGTTCCCAGCCCCGCCCCTTTGTCCCAAACTTTTCTAGACTTGTGTGCCACCCTTGCCACCTCCCCCTCCCCTGGGTCCCTTCCCCAGCTTCCATTGCTTCCATTCCTGAGACCAGTTCTTGCAGCCAGAAGCAGCAGAGCAGGCTCTCCTCTGGCCTCAATACCGCCCTGGGGACAGCAAGGACATTCAGCAGGTCTCCCCCAAGTGCAGCAGCTGTGGGAGGAGATGGAGGCTGGGAGCTGAGCCCTGGCCTTGAGCCTTTCCCTCTCCCACAGCCGGTGGTGTTAAAAGAGTAAGGAGCTAAAGTATTCCTTTTTTCCCAGGGCAAGATTTCGGCAGGGAGGCCTAGAGATAGAGCTGCCCAGCTGAGCAGCTAAGTCGCCACAACCCTAGGGCAGGGCCCCCAGTCTCTCCCCCAGGACTGTTTATCTTAAGGCAGCTTACTTTGCTGGACTAGCTGTCACCCATGTCAAGGGAACTTTAATGAGATTCTTGGCCTGAAACGGTGTCAGAGGCTACGAGCCGGCCACTGAGAATGTGTGCTCAAGGAATGTTCTAGCATGAAGCTGGACATGGATGGAGCCCAGATCCCAAACACACACCTCAGGCAGCACGGGTATTCCTTAAAATTAACCTGGAGGGAAAAACTTCCAGCACAGGCCTCTGCCTGACCTCAGGGTTTCTCATTACTGTGGCCTGCCAGCCCAGTTCCTGGAGCCCAAGAAGCTCGAAACAGGTTTCTCTACAGGGAAATATTTCCAAAGTTTGGGCCTTGAAGGAAATGGGCACTTGAGAGCCTTGATCTCAGCCTTGCCATCCTGGAGGGAAGGGCACGTGTCCTCCCGGGTAAGGCCCTCCTCAGGGAACCATACAACAGACAGCTTGGTGTTCTGCAGTCAGTCAGCCTTTTCTGACAAGTTCCCAGTCAACGTGACTCCACTCTGTTCTCATTTGGAGCAGAGGCACCCTTGTAATGGCTTTCTTGGCCTCTGTCAGATTCCGTCGAGAATCAATCGCTTCTCGATTCTACCTATTCCCTGATACTATTTGACAACCACCCCAGCAAACACTCACATTCCTTCGCACGGATGCTGATCTCACAAGTCAGAGGTTTTCTTTAGGCTGCCTCCCTGGAAACTCCCTTTACCACTCCTCCAGCACAGGGCCATAAATTAATGCAGCATTGCAGAAGCTACCTCTAGGAGACACGATACATGACAGATGCCTCACAACCTGCAACACATCTCAGTAAATCTCACCCTGATTTGGATTCATGGTGCCCAAGGATCCATTTACCTCACTGTGGGCAAACGGCCCACACATGTTGCAGTGACTGTCACTGGACCCTTGAGTGACATACTCACCTCGGGCATTGAGGTACACACAGGACCACACACAAAGTATCAGCGGCCCCACTAGTGAGAATTCAACTCTTACCCTGCTGCTTCGGTCCACCCACAGCACAAATCCTACATAGCAAGATCTACATCTTCCCTACCATGCCTAGCCCACTGCAGCTGCCACAGGCCCTCAGCAGCCCAAGATCTCTTGGGTGAGGTGGGGGGGTGGTATGGAAAGGGTTTTCTAGGACTTCCCTGGTAAAAGATTGTTTCATAACATCTGCCCTCCTAAGGCTTGGGCAGGATATACCTCAAAGACCCTGAGCTCCCTGACCTATAGCAAATTTCTTCTTTCCCATTCCTGTCCACAAACTAGGCCCCTACAAATATGGCCTCCCTCCGCCACCCCATACCCCCCCCCAACACCCCCACCCCCGCCATGGACAGATGCCCATGGTCTGTGTCTGATGCCTGGCTACTACCTGTTCACCATACATCCAGATACCCAGTCCTCCCATCCAGAGACCTCATGAGCACCGAAGCAGACATTGTGGTTAGGTCTGATACCCCGGACCTGTGGCCTGGTGCTCCCTGGCCATTTGAGAAGGAAGCAATCCTAGGCTTCTGGACCCAAGCTACTGCCCTCCCTCCCCTGTGGCAGAGAAATCTAACTTCCCAGCAGTTCTACCCACAGACCCACTACTTGATTATAACAGAGCACCCCACCTATCTCACACCCTCCTGACCTTGGTGGCAGCCACTGCTTTCTTTAAGACCCTGAGGCAGACTTAGGAACTGGAAGGGGCTGGAGGGTGTTCTCTGTGTCTTAGCCTGGCAAAGGCCAACAAAAGCCCATCTGTTCCTTCTTGTCTGCATGGGATGAGTAGAGCTTGCCTTTGTTCTATTTTGGCACCTGAACCGTTATTTAGGGGAAGCCCAGGAAAATTTCATCCAAGGCCCAGGTCTCAAGGGAACAAGATTTGGAACGAGTGAAGAGAACAGAGTGACTCTTCCCGTTAGATCCCACTGTGGCCACAGGCTTCTCTTGCTTTGGTCTGGAGGACAGCTCACCCCAAACATGAATGGAGAGACATCCTAGGGGAGCGGCCAGGTTGCATCTCTCTGTCCAACCAGAGGCTGGGGCTAACAAAGAGCAAGGCAGAACATTAATACTTTAAGAGGTATTAGAATTTAATGTGTGAGTGAGGCCAGGGGAGTACTGCTGTACAGTACATCTGCAGGACAGATACGTATGTATATAAACTTAGGCAAATTAAATCAATTGCTCTGGGTTATAAAGCTCCTTTTGCAGAAAGCTGCCTAAGTGGGCTCTGACTCCGTTCAAATTTCCCAAGCCCGCTCCCCCCAACTCCCCCCCCCCCCCCCCCCCCCCCCCCCCCCCCCCCGCTATCTACTCTGAACGGTTTCTGGATAAAGGGATTATGGTCTAGGCAGCCTAGCAAGAATTAGTTTACTTTGAGGATCGGGTTCACCTTCCAGAGTTAGAAAGAACAGTTTTATGCAAAGGAAGGCCTTGCTGTTGTCTGGGTGGGAAGTGGCCAGCTTCCTGATTTGTGGCCAGTGGTTCCTGGGAAGGGACCACTATTTAGGGCTGCCACTTGCATCTGCCTTGTGATTAGCTGGGGACAATCAGCCGCCTCATCTGATTCCGCCTGAAAGAAACAAGGGTCACAGCCTGCAAGAGTGTTGGGCAGTCACACTCCTCCAGGCTAGTGAGTGGCTTCCCCTTCCTCACCCAAGGAGAGCAAGACCCCCTTGCTGAGCAAGCAGCTGCCCCTGCCCCAGGGCTGTGAGGGCAGATCCGGAAGAGCTAAGGGTGGCTTCAGCTGGATTCCCAGAGCAATTTCTGGTGTCTCAGGAGGCTGAGGCCTTCAGGAAGGAGGAGGGGTGGGGGCGGTGAACTAAGGGGGGGGGTGAACTAAGCTCATAAGTATCTCTTTAATGTTTCCAAATGTATGGTGTAAATAAGAATCAGAATGAACTTGAGGAAGGGCGGCCAGGGCCTGAGGCAGAAGGAACTGAAGATATTCGAAGGGGAAACAACATCTAGGGAGCATCAGGATGGCTAGAGAGAGATGCCGTCAAACTAAAGTAATATGACACATGCTGCCCAGACATTTTCAGGGACACTTTTTTGGTGGGGGGTTGTGTCTTGGGTATACCCTTCTGCCTCCCTGAGTTGGGCCAGAGAGTAGGGCTAACCTCTGTGGGTTCATAATGCTGGAACCATGGGGTCATGCGGCTTCCTTATCTCCATAATGCCATGGAAAAGGGAAAGGGGCCAAGGGGCACTGCTTAGCTCTGCAAGGCAGCTTCTCTGCTCCCCATCTTAATGGCCTCCAAGCGCCATTTGCCCGCACCGCGACAGAAACATACGTAAGGGACTGGTCTCAAACTTGAGGATTAAAGGGCACGTTTCTAGAGTTGGGGGAATCATGCCTCTCCCTCCCCCAGCCCTGAAGCATCCACTTCACACATGGGCAGATCCCTGCTGCTGCCCCGAGCCCAGATAACTCTGGCTGAGGAATGTGGGCCCGGGAGGGACCAGAAAGGTTGGGTGAAGGCATGAAGGAAGACTTGGACCAGAACTGGGAGAGGACTGTGGATTATAGGATGGGGATCTGGCTCCATTAGGAGGCCAACAGGGGGTTGGCAGTCCCATCAGAGCTTTGCACACTGGGGAAGGCGTGGCGGAGCTTCTCCATGATGTCCTCCAAGCACAGGCTGACATCGTGGCTCTTGGACCCCACATCATCTAAGTTGGAAAAGAGAGATTTGGGGAGAGAACTAGGGATTCCCTGCTGAGGCCAAGGGGCTGAAGCGGGAGGCTGCCCGCTGAAGGACAAAACCCCACAGCGTTTGTGTCTTCCCAGCACAATGCCTAGAACATAGGAGGTGCTCAATATACACGTGTAAAATAAGCAAACAAACGCTTGGTCAATAAACCAGTCTTCCCTGACGCTAAGCTCAAAGCCACGAGGGGAAACCCATGGTCCAGCCCTAGCAGGACCTAGGGCAGATCTGGGGCAGGATGAAGCCATGGAGGAAGGGGCTGGGAGGGGCCAGGGGAACTTACCTGCAGCTTCAGTATCTGGAGTGGTCTGTCCCTTCTCCTGGGGGTGACTGCCTTCTGACTGCTGTGGAGAGGAAGCTAGGGACGAGCCTGCAGAACCATTGCCATCTGATTCGGTGGGTGGCTGGCAAGAGGTAAGGCATGACTTAAGTGGCTTTGTGTTTCTGACCTCACTTTAACAGACTCCTGAGCTTAGAAGGGGCTTTAGAGACCTCATGCCCATCCCTTTGCCCTGGGACTTTAAGAAGTTTTCGGTAGTGCCCCAAACAGTGGCTTCCCCTTTGAAGAAACTTCTTAGAATATTCAGTTACCAGTTACCTTCTTCCTTCAACAACATGTGTCAAAGGCTCCCAGCTGCACCTAAAGGTCTCTTGCTGTCCATCTCAGCTATAATTAAGCTATTTAGAACCCAGATCTCCCTGAAAATATAGAGTTGCACACCTGATCCTCAGTTCATGATATATGTTAAGACCTCCAGGAATTCATCTAGAGGCTATCCCTTAGAGGATCTGGGGAAGAGGCATGGGGTGGTATTACTTGGTACATATAGTGATTAAACAGTTGACCCTTGAAAAATGTGGGGGTTAGGGGCACTGACACCCCTGTGCAGTCAAAAATCCACATATAATTTTGACTCCCCCAAAACTTAACTGCTAATAGCCTACCGTTGACCAGAAGCCCTACTCATAACATAAACGCTAAATAAACATACAGTTTGTATGCATTATATACTACATTTTTACAATAAAGTCAGCAAGAGAAAAGAAAATGTTATTAAGAAAATCATAAGGGGGCGCCTGGGTGGCTCAGTCGGTTGAGTGTCTGACTCTTGGTTTTGGCTCAGGTCATGATCTCAAGGTTGTGAGATCAAGCCCCCCGAGCTGGGCCCTGCGCTTAAGAGCCTCTCTCTCTCCCTCTCCTTCTGCCCTTCTCCCTCACTTTCCCTCTAAAAAAAAAGAAAAGAAAAGAAAAGAAAAAGAAAATCATAAGGAAGGGAAAATACATTTACAGTACTGTACAGTAAAAAATCCACATATAGGGGCACCTGGTTGGCTCAGTCAGTTAAGCATCTACCTTCGGCTCAGGTCATGATCCTGGGGTCCTGGGATCCAGCCCCACATCCCCACATCGGGCTCCCCGCTCAGCAGGGAGTCTGCTTCTCCCTCTGTCTCTGCCCCTCACCCGCCTCGTGCATGCTCACGTGACCTCTCTTTCTCAAATAAACAAAATCTTTAAAAAATCCGCATGTAAGTGGACCCACAAGGTCCAAACCTGTGTTGTTCAAGGGTCAACTGTAATAGGTAACGTTTACAAAGTATTCCCTACATTCCTGGCCTCGTGCTAAATTCTTTAAATACACTATCGCATCTTAGGTTCACAATTCCACGAAGTTGGGATGTTATTATCCCTGTTTTACAGATGAGGGAACTGGGGGTAAGTGAGGCCAAGTAACTTTCCTAACACCTGACAGTCACGAATTGGCACAGCCACATTTGAACCCAGGGCTGTCTGACTCCAGAGCTACACCATGCCATATACGTGACCTCTCAAGGAGGAAAGGGACAAACAGGAGCGAAGAGCTCCCTTCCCGGCAAACATCGTTCTCTCCCCCAGCATGTCCAAAACTGCTTCTTTCCAGCAAACATCACGGTAGCGAAATCAATGTTTTGGATGATTCTTTGAGCTTCGTCCTCTTGATACCAGATTCAAATGGGTTGTGGGGAAGTGAGCACTCAGACTTGGCCAAGAGCACACCGGTCCCTTCCCGCGCCCCCTTCCCTAATGGTCAGCCCAGTTCTCTTCAGAAAGTCATCCAACAACGGCCACCGCCAATGAAAGCCAAGGAGCGCTTTCATTCCTGCCCTTTGCTGCACTCCCCGGCTCCCCACATCCAGGAGGTGGGGGGGGGGGGGGTCAGCCGCTCTGGTCCTCCCCCCTGGCTCCAGACTCACCTGCAAGAGCAGCTCCCTTAAGCGCTGCAGCTGAGACTCCAGTTGCTTGTTGTGGTCCTCAAGGATCTGCATGCGTGTCTCCAGGCGGCTCTTGTGCTGCCGAAGGATCCGGGCCTCAGCCAGGAGCTCCTCATTGCGGTGGTCCTGTGCTACCTCAGCAGAGCACTCAGCCAGGGTGGGGGCCTCGGCAGCCTCCTCATGCTGCCACTTCAAGCGCTTCAGCTCTCCCTGGAGAATTCTGCCAAGGAGACAGGAGCCAAGACCTATGGCCCTAACAAAGTACTGACTGTGTCCGGGTCCCAGATGTCCCCTCCTACCTAGTGGTGAGCGGTCCCTTTGCTCTCCCAGCCCCACCCCCACCCCAGCCATGTTTGGGCTCGAATGGCCATATCCATTCTTCTCCAGCACACATGTCATTTACTCTGCCATCCTCGGGCCTCAGAGCAGAGAGAGCTGACATTTCATCTAACAAAGGTCTCAGGGCTTTGATGTGCTGCTTCAGGGATTAATTCTGACCTTAAAATCAGGCAGAAACATAGTCTGCAAATAAATGAGGCATTAGGGCCACAGACTAACCTACTCCATTTTTAGATTTTTAGATTCCAGCGGAAGACAAACAAAATATCACCCATCTTGCCTCTTCTCTCCACTTACCCTCCTCTTTGGCCCCCTTTGAACACCCCTGTTGAGTCATCAAGAAACAGAATCACTGTCTCACCAATGCTTCCCCGGGCCTGCCCACTGCTGATCTAACGCAGTGCTTCTCAAACTATCCATAGCAGAAAACCAGGGGAGGTGGGGGTTCAATCACTGTGGACCAATAAGTGGTCCAAATGCCTATGGCTAACACACAGCTCCCAACACACGTGACTTGCCACACAAGTTCAACAGCACGCAAATGGGTCTATGGCTGATTCCGTGAAAAGTCCACTAATTATGTGCCTGGAACACGTGGCCATGTCGAATTGCTCTAAAGGTTTCTAGAAGCTGACTTTCTATGTCTGTATTTATCTTGTCTTGAACCAGTTAGCGAACACTTGGCAGACCGGCCCTGTTCTAAGGACTTGCCACTCCAAGTAGTCTGGGGGCCAGCACCATGGGCATCCCCGGGGAGCCGGTTAAAAATGCAGAACTCAGCCCCTCCCCCAGACCTGTGAATCAAAATCTGCATTTTACCCAGCTCCCCGGGTGACTTGTATGCACACTAAGGTTCGAGAAGCACTGGTCTGAGGAATCCTTTGGGTTTTATTGAGTGCCCCCAAAGTGGCTTGGACCCTTTGACACAGGCCCCTACTGAAACCCGTACTTTATGGAGATTAATTTCATCCTCGTAATCTTCACCTTCTCTTGTTTTATTACTTTCAGTGAGTGTTAAGTGCCTCTTTCCATTTCCAACTCTGAAAGTTCCTCAAGGGCAGAGACATGCATTCTCTCTTCTGTATTCTCTGTGTTTGCGCTCTCTCTGCTTGTATCTACTGGGTACTTGAAAATATTTGGGTTGGGTTAAGAGGATTCAAATTATGATTAGAATTGCTAGCATTTATTGAACCCTTACGATAAGCCAGGTACTGGCTAACGCATCTATATGCCTGATTTCATTTGAAATTCACAAGTGACCCTAGGAGGTAGATACTATTATCATCATTCTTATTTTATAGATGAGGAAATGGGGGATCACTGAGTAGAAGTCACATAGCTAGGATGTGGAAGTGTCAAGACTCGAAATTAAACTGTTTGACTCTCCCACCCGCACAGATCTGTGCCATCACCACACCCACCGGTTCTCATCCTCTAAGTGGGCCAGGATCTTCTCTAGCTCCCCCTTGCTTTCTGTAGCCATGCTGCATGGGGCCTGCTGTCCAAAGGCTGGCTCCCGGTCTGTAATGGGGCTGGAGTGCCGCAGCAGGTACTGGTCCTCATCTCTGCGTGGGTGTGGGGAGAGAAGAGGAGGTGGCCAGGCAGTGAACCAAGAAACATTTCAGGGCAGGAGTTCCCAGCTCCCAGCTCAGGCCCCAAGAGACATAGGCTGGAAGATTCACTTCTACATCACATAGAGAGGGAAAGGCTATATATTTAGGTTTAAGAGGGGTGAAGGTGTTTAAAGGTGGCAGAGGTCGTGGTTGAGGGTATAGGAGGGAGTGTTTTCAGGATGCTGGGGCTTCTGGGTTCTACCTAAAGCCCCCTGGGAAACAATGAGCAAATCACTTCCCAGTGTGTGCTATTCACTGACCTTGTCCTCCTTTGCTTCCTCACACCTCCCAGGGGGCTCACTGCTTGTCTAAGTTCCATCGGGGCCAGCCTGATCCATTGGCCAGTAGCTCCTAAGCCCCCTGAGCCTGTCAGGGACCTCCCTAGGGATAAGGGGCCCCTTCTCTGAGCTATAGCACCAGGGAATCCCTCTGGTCACACTTCAGTCAAGTCCCTGGTGTCTCCCCAGGGTGTGGCACTGGACAGGGCTTTAGCACCTTGAGCAGAGATAATGGCTCATTTCTGCAACTTTAGATGAGGGCATATTCTCCTTCCTTCAGAGTTAGGCATGGAAGGACGGGATCTTGCAAGAGGAAGTGACCTGGGCAGATGGCAGCTCAGTCAGTCGATAGAGGGCTTCTATTACTAAACACAGTGCCCAGAAAGCAGCCTTCCTTCCTTGGGGCCTCTAGAACCCTAACCACCACATGTCCCTCTCCCGGAGGATATATCCTTCCCAAATGGTGGCAGAGGGATCCTAAGGAGAACTCTTCCTGGAAAATACGCAGCTGTGAAAACTTACATGCTGTCATCTGGGGACAGGCTGTCATTAAAGAAGGAACAATTCTGACTTTCCATCTCAGCAAGCCTGAGAAGAAAAAGCAGGAACAGAAGGGAAAGCAGGATGTGGGGGCTTGCTTTCATCTCGAGGACTCTAATCCCACAATAGGATCATTAGCTTTGGGGGCTGCCCCAACCACCCTGGAGTGTTGGGCCTCGCTGGCTGCCACATACCCCACTGTGCACACCCCCCTGGTCTAGACTCCATTCTCTTTGCCCTGACTGAAGACCCCCTCCCCTTTAGACTCTTTAAAATCTCCCTCCCCCGAACCTGGTGGTACCTGCTGGCAAAATGCTCAATGCGGGAGTGTGTGTCGGCGTGTGGCAACATCGGGGAAGAAGCCAGCCTAGAAGAAAGCAGTGGACTCAGAGGACCAAGGAATGAGCAGCTGAGCAGTCCGTTTCCTTATCACCACCCTCTCCACCCGCCCCGCGCTCCCCCCCCCTCCGCCACTAAACTAGGCAGATGGGCAAGAGTTGATGGGAACAGGATGCAGGGACTGGATTCTAATCTATTTCTCGGGCCAGCTCCCTAGTCAGGCCCAAGCTGACCCTCCCCGTTGTTAGTCGGGTTTGCCTCCGAACACTCCTCCAGCCCACGTGGGACTCTGCCCCTACACAGTGCATCCCATCCGCAGCTCGACAAGGCCCACAGCCCCTCCGCTCAGCCCCTGGTACTCACGTCTCACTGTAGTCCGCCTCCAGCACCGACTGCACAGGCAGATAACCTCGCTGAGGGTGTTTGCTGAAATAATGCTTTGAGCGGAATTTGTTCTTTAAGGTTGTGGCAAAGTCCCTCATGTTCTCACTGGATGTGGTCTAGGGGGAGACAGGGCAGAGGGACTCATCTTAATGGCTTCGGGAGGCTGGGGAGGTGGGGATGCTCTCCTAGAGCAGGCAACATGACCAGTCATCTACTCTTGTTCATGCCTACCACGCTCCACTCCCAGAAAAAGGTCAAGAAGGATATACTGCCAAACTGTGAACGCTGGTTGCCTCTGGGAAGTTGGACTGGAGAGGTGGGGGCGAGGCTGAGGAGAGAGGGGGACTTTCATTTTTGACTTTATACATCTGTACAGAATTTGAATCTTTTACAGTAAGCATATATTTGTTAATTTCTAAGGATCTTTATATAAATTCTAAGGGTGCAGAAGATGAGCAAGAGGTAGAGGATTATCAGCCTACCATCTCAAGCCAGTTTTCTCTGTATGTTTATTTTGAAATGAAAATACAAGAAAAATAAAGGCAAGTCCCCTGCTCCCACTGGGTGACACATCCAGTGAGAACATGAGGGACTTTTTTTTTTTTTTTTACCTCCAAGAGACTGAGTAATTGATTTGAGCACAAACTTGACTAGCAGGGATGGAAGAAATGACAAAGTAGCGGGTGAAGACCAGGTTGCAGGAATGCTCAAAGCTATAGCCAGGAATCCCCCAAACTGGTGAAACTCCACCCTTCATAGCTACCTGAGCCCAGGTTGGTCAACATTCCTGAACTCCACTCAGAGAATTTCTCCTCTGCTGTGTTCAGGACCCAAAACTCCAAGCTTAGCTCCCTGAGCGGACTCTGCTCCCTAAGCGGACTCTTCTCCCCAAGCTCTTTTATCCCTTTCTGCCCCACAGATACTCCCAAGTCCCAAGCATATTGCCAGCTCCCCACGCTGTTCTCTCCCACCCCACCTCCCTACCTTTCAACGCGGTTCCCCATAATCCATCTCTCCAAATCGCCATCTCTTCTCCAATGAAAACCAAGTGAATTTGGGGACCCGGGTAAAGAGCATACTCTTTTTTTTTTTTAACCTCCAAGAGACTGAGTAATTGATTTGAGCACAAATTTTGGAATTGACTAGCAGGGATGGAAGAAATGACAAAGTAGCGGGTGAAGACCAGGTTGATGGGAGCAATGCAGGAAGCTAGGCAGGAAAAATTAAAGTGAGCAATGGAAGGAAGGCCAGTTACCTGGAACTGTCTTGCTCTCTCTCTTTTTTTTTTCCTGAGACTTTACTCTGCAGGAAAATAGTAAATGCCTTTTAAATGGCCACGAGTGTCCTGGGCTGCTATAGCCAGGAATCCCACAAACTGGTGAATCACCAGGACTGCTGGGAGAATGCTCCCCAAAGGAGAACGGAATATAGCTAGTCCATGCTCGGTCAAGGAGATCAAGGGCCTAGAAGCTGATTGCTGCCTCCCCGTCCTGCTCCGCCCAGAGGCTCCGTACCGGGGTGTAATACTCCATGATGGGGTAGTGAAGCTTGTTGCCTTTGCTGGCCCTGCCTGTCAGGAAGCAGGTCTGGCAGATGTCCACGTTAAATTGTTTCAGACTCCGGTACCTTGGGGAGATGAGAGGTGGTAGGACAGAGAATCCAGCGGACCGTAGTGACCTCCCCATTTCCCTAACTTCCAGATATACACACACACATTAGAAGGGGGCGAGGCATGGAGTCATAATGGGCTCAACCTCCCACACATAACAGTGGCTGCGTCCTCACTAGATGACTAGCCTTATTCTTTTTTTTTCTTTTTTTTACATTTTTTAAAAGATTTTATTTGTTTATTTGACAGAGAGAGAGAGAGCACAAGCAGGGGGAGAGGCAGAGGGAGAGGGAGAAGCAGTCTCCCCGCTGAGCAAGGAGCCCGTGTGGGGCCCGATCCCAGGACCCTGGGAGCATGATCCGAGCCAAAGGCAGACGCTTAACCGACTGAGCCACCCAGGTGCCCGGCAAATAGCTTTCTAAACGAAGATGTCTCTGAAGGGTCCCGTCTCAGAGGTACCACCACCTACGTTGGAGAAGTTACACTTCCAATACGAAGGCTCTTATTCTACCAGCCTTGGGCAAATTGGCTAAGTCATTTCCAAAACTTGTTTATAATAATAACTTGGAGCGCCTGGGTGGCTCAGTCAGTTAAGCATCCGACTCTTGATTTTGGCTCAGGTCAGGATCTCGGGGTTGTGAGATTAGCCCTGAGTCAGGCTCTGCTCTGGGATCCACTCAGGAGTCAGCCTGCTTAAGGATTCTCTCTCCCCCTCTCCCTCTGCCCCGCCCCCACCACCACTCATGTTCTCTCTCTCTCTCTCTCTAAAAAAAATAAATAAATAAAAAGTATGATAATAATTCTAATATTAACTGAATATTGACTAACCCTTCAGATCCAGGTCCAAAGCCTGGCTGAACTGCCCAGACCTAGTAGCACAGAAAGGTGAAATGCCTAGACTTAGGGAAGTCAGAGGAGCCAACATCTAGTCCTGGATCTACACTCACCAACTGTGTGAACTTGGGCAAGTCACATGCCACCTGCATGCCTCATTTGCTTATAAAAAGCAGGGCCGTTGTAAAGAGAGTGCCTTCATGCTTTCAAAAGTTGAAAACTTGAGCATTTTATGATGAAAGCCAAATTCAGGGTAGTGGGAGGAGGAGAGGAATGTAACCAGGGAAACTTTAAATGTATTGCGATCATGCTTTCTTTCTTCACCTTGGTGGTGGGTGCACCCCTTTGCGGGCTAGAGCTGGCTCAAACCAGCTCATGAGAGCCAGTTGTTAAAATTTCAGGGATTTTTTCCAAGCCAGTTGTTAAATACAGCCATTATAAAAAATATATATAAACTCACAATTAAGTAAATGATACTAAAACAAAGTAACAAATACTCAGAACTCATCACCTCCTGATTATTTTTCTATTATCTATGCTCTTGAGGTTCAGTCTATCGTATCTGCAGTGTGGAAATGCTGTCAATTGTATACAACCAGGGATGATGCCTGGGTGGCTCAGTCAGTTAAACGTCTGCCTTCAGCTCAGGTCATGATCTCAGGGTCCTGGGATCGAGTCCCGCATCGGGCTCCTTGCTCAGCAGGGAGTCTGCTTCTCCCTCTGCCTGCTTCTCCCTCCGCCTGCTTCTCCCCCTGCTTGTGCTCACTCCCTCTCTCTCTCTGACAAATAAATAAAATCTTTAAAAAATAGTATCCAACCAATGCATCTCTTCTCAACCTCTTGTGGGTAGCAGGACATCAGCCACAGTGGGAGTATTTACATCATGGAAATTAGCAAATACTACAAATCAGGTTTGGGTTTCTGTTTATTTCTCTTGCTTTCTGGGGAGTCCCTTGTGAACCACTTGCCAGCATACCATTTGGTACAAAAGTGTTCTTATATGTCAGGATGCTGGGGCTTCTGGGTTCTACTTAACGTTCCCTGGGACACAATGAACAAACTACTTCCCTCTCTGTGCTGTTTCCCCACCCCCACCCCACCCCCTTTTCACTTTTCTATACATTCTTGGTAGGTCTGGACTACTTTGTAATATAGAGGAAAACAGAAGAAAGTATTTCACCATTGCTGATTTTTTTAAAACGACAAACATTCTGCAGTGGAAAGGATTAAAACAATATAGAACAGTGTGCCGTAGATGAGCTGTAATTATATAATTACGGAGTATGTTGTTTTGTAATATGTGATTCTATATGTAATGTGGCCTCTTTATTATTATCAGTCCAGCAGGTGTTGCCTTCTATATGTAATGTGGCCTCTTTATTATTATCAGTCCAGCAGGTGTTGCCTTCCCTACCTGAAGCCCTTGATGGGGCACTGCCTACAGATAGAGCACTTGGTCTGATGCTTCACTTGCTCAGCAATGGTGACCCGATGCAGAACAGCTAGCCACACCATGGACTGGGGCTCCAAGTTGACCCACTCTAGGAACTGTGAAGCTTCAATGACTGGCTTCCCAGTGCTCTAGGGAAACAAGAAACCCAATGACAATGACTGAGGCCCTTGTCCCCAAATTGGCAGCCCGCAGAGGGGCAGAAGAACCAGCAAGACCTGGGCTGGCCTATGGCCTTTTCTACAGAGGTGTCCACCTTCTGCTAGTTGAGCTGGCATCGCTCCCCGCCCCCACAGGACTCTGACCTTAAAAGCCCAGAGAACCTTCTGCTTTGTTATTCCATCTGAGCAAACTCCCTTACATCTGAGTAGTTCAGATCCGAAACCTCGCTCTTAGTTTTCCCTCCCTTCCTCCCACCCTCCCTCTCATCATCCCTCCCCAGTTTCATACTCACAAAACGGAAGCAACTACGGACACTGGGCTCCACATTGCTGCCCCCAAAGGCTGCCACTTCCCCCAGCTGCCGAGGCACCTGAATGGCCTCATGAAGCAGGACGCCGAGGTGGCGCTGGTCACACTGGCTGCCTGAGTTGGCTACTTGGCTGAAGAGGTCTGCGGGCCACACCATAAGTCATGGCCCACCCCGAAACAGGAATGGCCAGAGAATGGTGTAAGGAGAAGGAGCAGAAAAGGAAGACAGGGAAAGAGCACATCGACTTAGCTAATGACTTTTGAAACTGGAATACTTAAAGGTCCATCCCTGACCTTCTAGAAGCCCATGAGTTCTAAAAAGAGCATTCTCTGAGTTCAGAGAAAAAAAGACACAAAGAGAGAGAGAGAGAGAGGGTACATCAGAAACAGAGGGAGAGAGAGAGATGTAGACAGAGAGCCGGCTGCATGTGAGACCAATGCCAGACACAGATATGACACTGCCGGGAAAACAGACTCAAGAAGCAAGATGAAGGGGCGTGGGGTTTAGGGGTGCCTGAACATGAGTCCCCTCCTACTCATGTAGCTCACGAAGCCTGACATTGCAGTAAGCTCTCAACTCTCCACTCAAATGGAAAGAAACACCGGCACGGATAATCGGCAGAGAGGAGATGATCATCTAAGAATTAGCTCTAAGTGATTGTGGAATAGACTATGGTACTTATATTTGAATCGGGGCTCTATCTGCCCTGTGCAAACTACCCCCATCCTACCCCAACCTTAGAAAAGCTCCTTCAAAGGTCCTTGTCTGTCTCATACATCGCCTATGTCTTAGAAAATACTCAGAAGTAGAAGGCAGATGGCCCGAGTTTTAGTTCTGGGTCCATTACTGACTAGCTTGGAGGACCTTGGGTAAGTGAGAAACCTCTCTCTGCTGCAGTTCCCTTACTTGTAAACTGAGGAGAAATAATCACTGTCCAGTCCTTCTCAAAGTGATGTTGGGAGAAATCAATAATATCATTGCTATGAACTTGCTTTGCTCTGTCTCCTTCCCTGCAAAGCTTTCCCAGACCCCTGTCATCCCTCTTCTGTGATCTGATATAGCACATACCCTTTGCCATTCAGATTATTCTAATTAGCACTTTCAAAAATGCCTTCTGTGGACTTCTGTCACCACCACTGGACTGTCAACAACTTGAGCAGGGACCATGTCTACTTGCACCTTGTACTCACTGCACTTAGCACAGAAAAGCACAAAATGCTGTAGAGAAGATGGAAGATGGAGGGAAAAGCAAAGGTACTAGAAACCAGAGAGGTTAAAAACTACAGACGTACCTACTATTCACCTCCCAATAATAATCCCAATAGGGATTAGTGTGCGCCCCCCGCCCGCCCCGTGCAATCACATGGGAAGTCTCCAGTAGAATGTGTGACATGGCTTGAGCCCCAGACTGGGAGACGGCTAAGTCCGATAGGCCACAGGGGAAGGGCATTAGGAAGTTGGACCCTTGGATACCCCAGGATGCCAACTCAGAACTTGGTCAATTAATTACATTAGATCAGAAGAAGCCAACCCCCGTGGAGTGACACTGGAAATAGTAACAGGCCTTAGACCCATCTTAGCCTTTGGCTGTTGTGCGTTCTTTGCATAGCCTGGACCACCATTATAATGTAGCCCGAGTTGTGCTCTGCTCAGTAGTCATAAGACCTACCTTCTGCTTATTTCCACCTTTCCTCCTCCCACTACACCTCTCCCTCCACCCAACTCCACTCCAGACTTTGGATCTGTACTCACACTGCAATTTTTCCTTCACTTCCGTGCCACACAGGCATGCAATGCCGGTCTTAAAGGACAATGCCCGCATCTTCCCACTGCGACCACTAGGTTTAAAAGAAGAGACTGAGAACATGACTATACGGAATGAGTTAACATCTTGGCATTAATTCCCCTCACAGAGTTGATCCCAGCAGGGCTCTGTGCCAACCATGCCCCAAGCTAAGCTAAGTCTGAGTCCACTGTGGGAGCAAGCCCTTCTCACCATGCCCACTTCCAATGTCCCATTGGATTTCATCCTGGAGGCTTCCAGGGGTACAAGCCCTTACCTATCAAAAACATTGAGGAGCCAGTTGAGGCTCATGTCCACACAGAGTGGCACGTTGACCAGGATGCCTCTTTCCTCCTCCAGCCGTTCATATAAGGCCGTCAGGCAGTGAATGACCTCTACCACGTCCATCACATGCTCACTGGCCTGCAGATCATGCTCATTGAAGATCTCCAGGGCTGTGGTTAAAGTTACCAGGTCCACTGGGAAGGAAAAGAGACAGGGGGAAAGGATAGCCAAAAGTAGAACTCCAAGACTAGTCAAGGAGTTAACCCGCCAGCATCACCAAATTTGACTCCATCTCCAGACCCACCATTTGTAAGTAGGATACAAGATTGCCCTTCACCAAGACCCTTATCCCAAAGAGGGGGATGGCAGCGAAAGGCCCCCTAAATTAACCCAAATTGTGTATATACCCCTACGTTCTTTGATATCAGTTTCAAGAAGATGGTAGGAGGTGAGTAAATTCACCTCCTTTGTTGTATGAACTCCTAAGGGGTCAAGTCCCATTTCCAGGTGCCTTCCATTGCCCCCAAACCCCAGACTTGTTTCCAAAATAACCATAATCCTCCTCTTCCTTGTCCCTTCCCTGCCCAACATGGAGAGTCAAGCAACTGTTTTGTGGCTAGAAGTATCCCAGCCCAAGGTTTGGAGCCATCAGGGGCACCTGGAAAGAGCAGGTACCCACAGCCAGCATTTCCCAGCATTTGGAGAATTCCCACCAAGCCAATCAACACCCTTGGCCTGAGGTGGGATAAAAATGGAGAACAGCCAACAGATGAGGAAGAGTGGGAGTAGGGGTGAAAGCCATGGAGAGACGTGAGGGGGAACTTACAACGCAGTGCCTTCTGGACTCTGCGTAGCTTCATTGCAGTGCGGTAAGCTGAGAACTTAATGTTGTTCAGATCGGCTGCAAAGGATGGAAAGAGCCACACTCAGATAGGGGAAATGCACATTAAAACCACCACAAGATACTGTATCACACCCACCAGCTTGGCAAGAGATAAAAGTCTGACAATAGCAGGTGTCAGAAAAGACGTGGATAAATGAGGAGGGCTGGTGGAAGCATGAACTGATACAATCACCTCAGAAAACAACTTGGCATTACCTCGTAAAATTGAACAGTCACATATCCTGCAACCGACTGGCTGTGTATTCCTACAGCAGTGATTTTCAAACATTTATTGACTAAGATGCATGGTAAGAAATTCATTTGGCATCACAGTCCAATATGGACACCCATGTGTGCATGTATAAATAACTGAACGAAACATTTCAGGAAACAGTGCCTTGCTAGATTTGGTAAAGTAAAAACATAACAAATTCCGAGCAAATAGGACTCTTGCTAAGGATCTGTTGCACTTTCAAATCTCCTAGTCTATTCACGATGCACTGAAATGATGTTAGACCTGTAGACTGAAAGACATGCACAGAACGTGTCTTTCAAGAGCTCTTTAGCAGCACTGTCCTTTATGAGTTCCAAATGATAAACAACCCAAAAGTCCATCAACAGTAGACTGGATGAAGAAACTGTGGTATATATAATGGAACACTCTATGGCAGGGAGAATGAATGAACAATATTCACACGCATCAACATGGACAATATTTGCAACCTAATGGTGACTCTCTCTTAGTAGCCAACACTAAGGCACATGAAAGTCACACTCATAGCCTGGACAGTGTCCTTCAAAGCAGAGCTGGTTCACATCTCTAAGCTTAAGTCCCTAATGTGATGGTAAAATGGTCCAGGAGGAATGTGGAGCCTCCAGTTGGGGGAGGAGGCGCTGCAGAGGGGAAAGGAAGGAAGGCTGCTGAAGAAATGAGAAGGCACTCACTTCTGCCCCCACCTGCTTGTTGAATGGAATTCCCTTCTGTTTTGTTTTTTTTTTTAAGATTTTTTATTTATTTTTTGACAGAGAGAGACACAGCAAGAGAGGGAACACAAGCAGGGGGAGTGGGAGAGGGAGAAGCAGGCTTTCCACTGAGCTGAGAGCCCGACGCGGGGCTCGATCCCAGGACCCTGGGATCATGACCTGAGCCGAAGGCAGACGCCCAGTGACTGAGCCACCCAGGTGCCCCTCCCTTCTGTTCTTATAGGAAAAAGGCAGCTGTATAGATCTCCACCCTATACAGGAATCACGAATTCTTACCCAGGGTTTGGTATAACTCCGTCATCTTGGGATGGTCCCAGCAAGTGGTCTGAGCCTGGTGGCTACAAACAGAAGCATCAATGATACCAGGGTCCATGCCACCCCCCATGCCCCCACACACATGTGTGCATCACTCAGTGATAGGTTGGATGCAAGGAGCTTCAGGATCCCAGGGTGAACCATGAAGATCCCAAAGCACAAGTGTTCACCTTTACCCAGGTAGAATCTTGAGCTCTTGAGATGAGTAGGAGGAAAAACTTGACTGGATGGAGGAATCCCAACAGATAAGGAGGGACGGGGAGAAAAAAAAAAAAAGACCGGCAAAGGGGGGGTGGGGTGGGCAGGTGAATGACCCACTTCTAATTCAGATGGTCACTCACTTGATGTAGTAAGGAACTTTATTGGGTGAAATTGCTCTTTCCCAGGGAACCTGCACAGAGGCTGGTAAAAGAGAAAAGAAAGAGAAAGAAGTTGGCCACTCATGTTCTTCAGATCCCCGGGGACTCCCCTGCTCTATCCTCCTGAGCAGGCAGTCAAGCCCAAAAGGGGATTCCTGACTCGCACTGCCAGCTCTTAACAGCCCTTGAAGGTGGGACAAAAAATGATGAATGCACTTCTCTCCCTGAGGTTAGGGCAAGGGAAGAAGAAATTGTCACTGATACCCTCTTGTTTCAGCCACCCTGACGAGCTTTTCCCTGAGCAGTCTGCCATTTCTACCCATTCAGCTGTTGTGGATACAAAGGGGACCCTCAAACCCCTTCCCCAACAAGGTCAAGCTTCTCGGTCCTGTGGGGCAATGGGGAATGGTATTGCCCATTTCTCTCTGGTGAGGAATTCTGGAAAAGGGTGCCCTTCTCTGCTCCATGTCTCTATCTTCCAGATGTTTGAGGAGAGGCTTTGTGACTTGGCCAACCTCTTCACCGCAGTTTCCCTGGGTATAAGAGCCCACGGGAGGTACAGCTGCATGCCAGTGATCATAAGAGCAAGAGTTCTACCCGCCATCAATGTTTATTGAGTTCCTACTATGAGCCAGAGACTCTGCTAAGTGCTTTGTGTACATAGTTGATTTTCATATCCGGACGTTCTCACCATCTCCACTGCCGCCACCCCGACTTGGATCACCATAATCCCTCACCTGGATGATTACAATATGCTCCCTAACAGGTCTTCCTGCTCCCGCTCTTGGCCCCCAACACTCTGACTCTGTCAGATCATGTCATCTTTCTGCCCAAACCCCTAGAACCTGCTGTTCCCTCTGCCTGGTGTGCTTTGGCCTCAGCTATCCACGGGGCTCATGGCCTCATCTCCTTGAGGGTGCTACTCAATTGCCCTGCTCTCAGTGAGGTCTTTCCTGATCATCCTATTAAAAATTGCAATGCCTCCCTCATCGAGTCCAGCACTGCCTTTTCATGCTTTCCCTGCTTTCCCTTCTACCACAGCACTGGTCACCAGTTTACCTTACATATATTGTACTTATTTGTTTACGTTCTGGCTTCCCCTACTAGTGGATAAGCTCTGCAAGGCTAAAGACTTTTGTCTGTTTCATTCATTGAGGCGGCTCCAGTGCCTGAAACACTACGTGGGCCCACATCAGGTCCTCAATCAACGTTGAAAAAATGAAGATATTTGACTCCCATAACCCTATGAGTTAGGTAATATTTTCTCCTCTTTTTACATATGGGGAAGATTGATGGCCAGAAAGGTTAAGCTATTTTTTTCAAGCTTGCCCAGCTATGAAGTCAAGGAGCAGTAACTCAGACCCTGGCCTCTCTGACGTGAGAGCCTGTCCTTTCAACCTCTAAACTACGCTGCTTTATCCTTACTGCTTCTTGGATGCCACGATATCCTGGGCTCCCACCAGGTACCCAAGGGATGAGAGTAGACTCTCTTGGAAGGTATCTGAGGTTCTGCTAAGTGAAGTCTAGTTTGTCTCACGTACAGGACAGGAAGTGCTGTGACCCAGGCCCAAAGTCGCGGTGGGCATCCTGGAGCTGCTTAAGCCTCTCGCCAACTGACACCTGTGGAAAGAGGCAGAAAGTCAGTGAATTCATTCCAGATATTTAGTGTGGAATTTCCAGGCACCTCTGGAAATCTTTGTGAAGTCTTTTACAGGCTAGCTCCTCCCACGGCTGCCCAACTCCTACCCCTTCCACATCACTCCCAAGGGTCAGAGAAAAGCATCCTTAATTCCAGGCCATAGTCACCCTTCATCTGCCCCTGTCCACCCTGAATGCCTACATTTAGACAAGTCTCTCTCAGATCTTCATTTTTCAATTACTCCCTGCAGCTTAGAGGTTGAGAAGACTGTTCCCTGGCCTGAAATTCTCTACTATTCTTTTCCCATGTAGGTCCCACTTTAATGCCCCTTCACTTTCTTTTGGCCTGAAGAAGATTTCCCCCAAGCCTAGTTATATCAAAGCTCTTCCCTATGGCTCACTCCAGGCTTCTCTTCTACCTGTAGCTGTTTCCACCGGACATTGATCTGCTCCAGGGCTCGGGAATTCTCCATTGACAAGTGTACATCAGAAATGGCAAGTTGGTGGGCCAGATCATTCACCAATTTCACTCCATCTTTCATGGGGGAGAATTCTTCTTTGAACAGCTACAGAACCAGAACCCAAGTCCCACAGCAAACAGAGAGTGGGAAAGAGGAACCATTAGTCATTCACCTCAAATCCTCCCTCCTCACGACCAACAGCACGACCCAGGTGCTTGCTATTAGGCCATTTGGATTCAGGTGTGGGGGGCCACTGTCCTTATTCTCTTCCTTTCCCACTCTCAGAAAACACCAGGGGAAGAGAAGACTGTGGGAAGACAGAGGAGACTCCAGCTAAACCAGCCGCCAAAGCCAGCACATAAACTGGGAAAGGCTCAGTTGCAGTCTAGGCCAACAGTGACGCTTCAGTAGCAGGGACTGGGAGAAGTGTCAGGTCTCAGGGTGGGCCGTAGCCAGGTTAGGGGCCTGCATACCTTAAGAGCCTGGATGTGCTCAGGGAGTGAATCAATGAAGAGATCCCCAATGGGCTCCCATGTGGCTCGGACTCCCTCAGCCTGGGTCAGAGTATTGCTTAATTCCTCCATTGCGCCTTGGATCTCCAACAGCTGCTCCAGAGTGCGCTCAATATGGCGGTGCTGGTCCACACAGCGGGCTGTCAGCTTCTCCCATAGTTCACTGGCCACTGTTGCCTGCTTCCACACAAAGCGGCTAAGGTTCTGGATCCGCTGTCTGGGAGAGGTATCTGTAAGAGCAAGCAGGAAGCCAGGTCAGGCCAACCTGGCAGGGGCAGCCCAGGGAAAGACAGGGACAAAGATAGACCTTTGTAAAATGTGTGTGTGTGTGTGTGTGTGTGTGTGTGTGTGTGTGTGTGTGTGTGTGTGTTTAGCACTATGTGATTTATCACATGTGTAGGTTCATGGATCCCCCACCACAGTCAAGAGACCATATTATTACTTTTGCCCTACTATGAGGATTTCCTCATATTCTCAAAAAATGGGCAAGGTAAAATATTTTAAGAGGTGCCATGAGGTAAATCATCCAGAGTCCTATTCCCTTGACTCTAGAGCACTATTTTGCATTAGTGTCTGCTGCCCACTTCCATCCAAAGGAAGGAGGCATTTTCTGCCCAGGAGAGGTTAGCATAACTTGCCTAGCTTTTCCACCAAGGCACCTAAATTGGGGGTTTCTTCCCCCCCCCCCCAGATTTCCCCTCAGGAGTAGATTCAGACCCCCAAAACTCCAGGCTGGTCCTATCTGAGGCCCACTGGGCAGTAAATTGACTACTGGCCTCCTACTGAGGGGCTGAAAGTAAACTGAGTGAGTCAACAGCTTTACCAAAGGGCTCAATTAAAAAAAGGGTCCTTCCAGGCTATTCATAGCCAGTCTTGAAAGGCAAGGACTTCCTGGAGGAGAGGACCTGCTGAGCTACCACTCAGACCGAATCACCATGAATCACCCACTGCTACCTTATTTGAACCTAGACCTAGAGTGGCCTACTCTACTGAGGAAAGGGACCAGAAGTCACCAGGGTCAGTAGCAAAGACCTATGATAAATTTTTCTCCTGAAATGTCATCACTTAGCTTTTTAGATTTTAGAAAGATTTTTTTTTTTTTGATCAGAACATCACTGCATGTCTATGTTGGAATGAAGCAGTATGTTTTTAAAGGACATACTACTACTACTTTTATTCACTGAGTCAGCTCAATGTGTTCGAGCCTTTTGTGTTTTTTCCTTTTTATGTCTCATTAGAAGGCCACTCATGATGCTCCACAGAGCCACATACAGCTTTGGGCCACACGTTGGTGTGGCCCTCCCCTACTCCAGGTTCTGTTCTCTTTGCTGTTTCCTGCAATGTGAATCTTGCTCCTTCCCAACTTTGGACCCCTAAGAGAAAATTAGCCTCCTAGATAACAGAGAAAATGAGTTTGGGGAAGGCAGAAAGGTGTTTAGCAGTTCATAGCTAAGAAGAAGGCAAAAGAGAGGAAGACCACCCACCTTTGCTCTCAGAACGAGGTTCCTCTAATTCCTCAAATGGGTGCTGGGACAGGAAGGCCTGAGCTGACTCCAGCACAGAGTAGATATAGGGCCCCCGAGACTTGACATCTTCCATAAAGGCCTATGAAGTTTAGCAACATGATCAGCAGGGAAGTAAAATCTTTCAATTGCTTTAAATTCCACTCTGCAATTGACCACCTTTCTTCTCTTCAGTGCAACTTGATCCTTAAGCATTATCACGTATCTTTGGGCTACCCAAACAGAAAGGGGTGTAGTCCTCCCTATAGCCAGAAGAATGACTCTGACACTGGGAGGTCTATTTAGTATGAAATGGGTCTGTTTATGCCACAAGGTAGAGAGAAATGTGGACATTTGGGGTGGGAATCTTGGTTCTCTGGAAGACCCAGAAAGTCCCCCGTAAGGGGCTTAGAGAAGTCAAAACCAGATAAGCAGGATTTATATCATAATTTTTTTAAAGATTTTATTTATTTGTTTGACAGAGAGAGAGAGCACAAGCAGGGGGGGCGCAGAGGGAGAGGGAGTAGCAGACTGCCTGCTGAGTAGGGAGCCCGACATGGGGCTCAATCCCAGGACCCCAGGATCATGACATGAGCTGAAGGCACACACTTAACCGACTGAGCCACCCAGGCGCCCCTATATTATAATTTTAATTAAATTTTTTGTTGAAATATAGAGAAAAGTACACAAATCAAAAGCGTACAGCTTGGGGAATTTCCATAAAGTGATTCCATATCTGTAATCAGTACTGAGATCAAGAAACAGAACTCTACCAGCATCCCAGAAGGCACACTCAATGACCCCTTCTGGTCACTATCTCATCCTTCCCCTTTAGGTAACCACTGTCCTGACTTGTAATACCACTGATTAGTTTCGTCCATTTTAAAATTCATATAAATGATATTATACATTACAGTACTCTTTTTGTATTGGGCTTTTTTTCACTAAACATACTTTTGTTTGTTTGTTTAAAGATTTTATTTATTTATTTGACAGAGAGAGACACAGGGAGAGAGGGACACAAGCCGGGGGAGTGGGAAAGGGAGATGCAGGCTTCCCGCTGAGCAGGGAGCCCGATGCGGGGCTCGATCCCAGGAGCCCGGAATCATGACCTGAGCCGAAGGCAGACGCTTAACGACTGAGCCACCCAGGCGCCCCTAAACATACTGTTTTTAAGAGTCATCTATGCTGTGGCATGGAGTTATAGTTTATTTTCTTGCTGTACTGTATTCTGTTCTGTATCCACCTTTTAAATTGAGATATAATTGAATATACGATTGTATAAATTTAAGGTATACAACATATTGATTTGACACATTTATATTGCGATATGGTTGCCATTGTCCCCTTAGTTACACCTCTGTTGTATCACATAAGTATTTCTTCTAGTGCATTCTGTATTCATTTTTTTTTCAAAGATTTTTATTTATTTATTTGTCAGAGAGAGAGAGAGAGCACACAAGCAGGGGGAGCAGTAGAGGGAGAGGGAGAAGCAGGCTCCTCACTGAGCAAGGAGCCCGTCTGTATTCATTCTTAAGAAATATCTGTTGCTAGTTTCTGATTATAAGAGGTAATATATGTCACAGAAATCTTAGAAATTTCAGAAAAGTATGAAGAAGAAAATTAAAAAGAACTGTAATTTCATCACCTAGCATTAACCATTGTGAACTTATTGATATAGTTCCTTCTTATGTTTTTGTATATGTGTATATGTGCACACACATCTATGTAGATTTTTGTACAATTGAGATCCACCTGGATATAGCTCTGTATCCTATGTTTATGCTTTTTTCACTTATTATATTTTGTTCATTTTCCCACGTTCCCACTGAAAATCGGGGCAGGATTTTAAAGGGAGGCCAATTTCTGACGAAAGGGCTAAGGAGAAAAGGTTTGACTTACTCTGGTGGATTTTTATCCAAAACCCAGTAAAACTGGATCCAGCCTTCTGTTACTTCAGGTGCCTAAGCAGAGGCTAGGTGCCCATCTGTCAGAATCCGGCAAAAAAGATCCCTTCCCAGCTGAGAGGCTACACACGGCAGCCTCGTAACTCAAACCTACCGCATGTGTCTCCTTCTCCTGTTGCACCAGGGCCACGTCCCCTTGCAAGGGCAGCTGAGCTGACAATTCTTCATCTTTTTGGCTGAGCCAGTCAATAATCTCTTGAAGAGGGAGCTGAAGCTTTCCACTGTGGTCTGAGAAGGCCTCTAGGCGAGCACTGCACACAAGGCGTAAGACCAGTGATTTTCAATCTTCTTTTTTTTTTTTAAGTGGCAAAACATCTTTTCCCCCAAATACTTATGTGTTACTTTAATGCATAAAACAGATTAAAGAGGAGCTGCTCTGGTTGAAGTGGGAGGAGGCCCAGAGCCCTCCCTCCTCCTCACCCACAGAGGTTCCCAAGGCACCTTCACATGGAGTGCAGTACTAAAAACCAATGGGTAGGTCCATGAGTGGGAAGCATCAGTGTGTATGTCAGTTAATTCGGTTGCATGCCCAGCATCAGGCTGGGAAGGGGAGAAAACTGAGCAAAGGCATTAGGGGGGACAGCTGTCTGGTTGCCGTCTTGCCCTGGAGGAACTCAAATCATGCCAAATTACTCATCAACAGAGGTTTCTCAGAGCCTGCCCTCTGAGCAGAAAAGGATACAGTAAGTAGAAAGGCTAAGTCAGGTGACTGAATGCGGGCACTCACATGTGTGAGGACGCACACAAACATACGCAGCCCAAGGGTCCCAAAAGATGACAGCACCATAGGCTAGAGATTTGACATATGGAAGGAGAAAAATGCACACACTATAATCATCTCAGTATGCCTCCCTCCACAAATGAAACGTGAGCTGAGGACCAAGCGGCAGGAAGCTGGAGGCCAGTCTAGGTACAGCCATCAAGCCCATTCCCTGTAGCTGATAATAATAACTGTTCATTGCCTTCCTACTACCTGGGCTAAGCCCTTACCTAAATGACTGCTTCCACTAATTCTCAGAGCAGCAACCTTATGAAGTAGGGAGGTTAAGTAATTTGCCCAAGGTCACACAGTTAAATCGCCGGTAGAGCTATGATTTGAACTCAGGTTTATTTACTCCAGAGCCTGCATTCTTTCAACTTCTCTATGCCACCTCATTCCAGCCAAAGCCTACCAACAGGCAGGAGTTTGGGCTTTGATAATAAGGAGTGGAGAGGAAAAGTGTGGGGGGTAGGTTATGTAGAAGGGTAGGGAGAAGAGGGACAACTGATATAGGAATCGCCTTCATGCTCTTACTGCTTTGACCTCAGTTTGGGGAGGAATAGGTGGGCTCATAACCAATGGATGGGAGTAGAAGGAAAGAGAGCAGATAAGATCTACCGAGATGGAGGGCAATTACGAGAGGAAGAGGAGGAGGGAGTAGTCATAGCCTTCATTTATACATCAGTGCTTTTAAGTTCAGAAAGCATTTTCCTATCTTATAAGAATCCTCACAACAGCACTGTCAGGTAGTTAGGACAGTTCCTTCACTTGTTTTTTTTTTTTTTTTTCTTAAAAAAAACCAAAAAACAAAAGTGAAATTCAGATAGCTCAAACCATGTATCCAAGGTGACAAAACTACTTAAAATCAAGCTACTTAAAACCCAAGGCTCAAATCTAAGTCTCCTGACTTCCGACCCAGGGTCCTTTCCAAAGTCCAGAGAAGGAAAGGGAGAAGTGGATGATGAGGCTGACGAGAGGGTGACACACAGGCTGAGAGGAGAATGACAAGTTGCAGCAGCAAAAGGAGCCCAACACTGTCCCAGCCAATCGCCTAAGGCTCCTGTTTCTAGGGGCCAGGCCTTACCGGAGGTTGTGAGACTTCTTTTTGATTTCATTCCAACACAGATTCATGGCTGGTGGTTCTAGGGGTCCAGCGGCACCAACAGACCCGTTGAAGAGCTTTGGGCTTAGGCAGGAACCCCCAGCACCATCCTGAGGAGGCACAGGGGCGGTAGCAGCAGCTCTAACCTGGACAGAAACACAGACATCCTGCGATCCCCGGAGTGTGTCACACCCTGGTCTGCACCAAGCCAAGGATGGGACAAATGTGAACAGGGGGAGAGAAAGGCTTGTCCCAGGGTGTGTTGGGGGGGCGGGGTGAAGTAAAGGAAGACTTCGTGGCTCTGTTCATTGCAAGGTCCTCTCTTGGCCCAGGTCAGTGACTTTGAACTGCTCACTATTATCATTATTACTCTTATTACTGTAAGTTCTGCCAAGACTACTTACTGCCCGGATGGGATTCTGGAAGTACTTGCTTTAGATAAGAGCTGCTCAGAATAGCCCAAACACTGGCAACCACAGCATTCAAGGTAAGCCGTAGGCTCATGCTTCAGTGTCCCACAGTTTACCCAACCTGCTAGAAAAGAAAGCTGATGGGCTGCCTCAGAGATTCAGGGAGAGAGAGAGCAGAACAGCCAGAGAGAGCTACTGGTAATAGATGTCCGACTTCCCAAATGAATCTAGGCCTTCCTTGGTGTTCCCTCTCCCTCTTCCCCCACCTGCATTTTCCACCAGTCAGGAAGCCTAGAAATAGTCCTAAAGAGCACTGTTCAGCTTCCATGGGCGGAGAAAGAGCTAAAGCCACATTTTTGATCCTGATCTCCAAAGGACTCTGACCGGAGTCAGCAGCTAAAAGGACCAGCCATAGAGTCTGCCAAAGGCTCGCCTTGTGCCCTTAAGCTCAGAGCCTATCACTTGCTCGCCCTGCAGGGTATCATAAGGTTTAGGGGAATGAGGGTAGTGCCAAATAGCCCTTAAGAAGCTAGCTACCTCTAGCACAGTGCCAGGACTGCCCAGCCAGGGGCAGAGGGGAATAGAGGGGAGGAAAGTATGGGGGAGGAAATCTCAGCCTGTGCCACTCAATCCCAGCCTGGGGAAACCCACCTGCTCATCCGCCTATCTACCTGCTTGCCTTTTGAAGAAAGAACATGGTTCTGGGGGTGGCTGAGACTCTTCTAGTCTCCCTGTCCCCCAAAACCATACTTCCTTCCCACACAAGACCTTCCAGGCAATCTAGGAAACCAACCATTCCATTAAAACCACAGCTCACAGCCACATACTGAAAGGGAAGTGAGAGAGCAACCCAGCTCAAGGGCAAAGTTCTGAATTCAGTCACCCTGGGTCCCCATGAGCTGACCCTACCTGTGCTGCCTGGGGACTCCATTGCAGGATTCGGCAGCTCCATGATGATCCCTCAGCTCGGGTCCAGAATCAATGTCTGGTGAGCCACAGGCAGAGTCCCAACAGGCTCTAAGCAGGTTCCCTCAGGGGAGGCCAGCAGAGCTGAGCCAGGTCAGGAGGCGGGAGTTGTCACCCTGTTTGTTTACTGACCCCCCAGGAATCTGGAGGGGGCGGCTCTGTGAGGGCTCAGCCGGTGAATCAGAGCTTTGTCCCTGGGGAATTCCAGCTCGCTCCCAACTGGGCCCACCACACCGGGGCCAGGAGGGCCCTCCCAGGCTGGCAAGGATGGCGGGAGTGGGACTGGGCATTCCATGGTGCTGAGGAGGGGCATGCACAGGGTAGTTTCTCTTGATCTGTTCTCCCTTTCCACAGAAGACACCAAAGACTCACTGCCTCCAGCCCCCCCCACCCCGAGATAGAAGAAAAGATCAGCCCACTTGGGTGATAAACCTCTGGTAAACTATTTACCCAAAGCCTGGCAGGAGGATGGGCTTGGAAATAAGCCTTGTCTTTAACTAATAAGTGTGTGCCCAGAGGCAGTGAGGAATGGGTGTTGGCGCACCTGGGGACGGAGCCATGGGAAGGCAGGGTCAAGAAGTTGGACCGTAGAAGATTCATCTAAGCCCGCTGTGGAAACAAGGGGGTGCTCTGCCCTGCCTTTGGGAGGAAGAGCTGAGAGGAGGGAGAGTCATTTTCCACCCCCAGACCTCTCCCTGCACTCTAAGGCTAGGGGGAAATAGATGGGTCTATGGGCATCCCCTTGGACCGCTGCAGGGAAGAGAGAGGGCAGAATGGAACCCAGCAGCTCTGAGGATCCAGTGCCCTGCTTGTGCTGCCTTGGGCCACAGGCCTGAAGGGCAGGGCCCCTCCTGGAAGTGACTCCTCTTCTCTTTCTCCAGCAGACTTGCCTGGGGGAAAGGTTAAGATTCCCTAGCTAGGCCCCCACCCCTCAGCTCCAAGGGAAAACACTTCGTTTTTACCAAAAAAGGGTTCTGTTCCCATCCTCATTTATCTCCCACAGAATCTTCTGGGCTTTCCACAGTTCCACATTGTTTCCATGCTGAGGCCCACCTACAGGAATAGTTGGAGCAACTGCCTGACCCTTTCTGGGGATCTGGGGTGGAGCCATTCTGGGTGGATGGGGGATGGCAAGGGAAGGCAGGCCAAGAGCAGGGAGGGGCTCTAGCTCTGGGTCACAGCTTTGCTTATGCTGGGATAATTGAGCTCAAGCCAGTCTCACAGAGTCCCCTAGACTGGGAATGCCCCAGAGTGCGAAATGGCTCCTTGTGACCCAGGGACAACCAAGTTTTCTTGTTTCTGAGAGAAGCGCCCATGATGAACTGGGCTCCACCCATATTAGGCTGTCATTCCCTTCAGACTTCTTAGTTTCCCAAATCCCCATTTGGCTCCCTTACTATACCCCCATTACCCTGTTCTCCCCTCCTAGTTCCCTCTTATATTCACAAGTCCCCCTAGCAGAGCCAGGCACACAATAGGCAACTGATGAATAACAACATTTTCCATTCTCTACCACTGGCCTTCTACTTCTGGCTTTTGTGGCCAAGATGTCTTTTTCTCACCCCAATCCCCAGAGGGCTCTCTCCTGATCTCTTGAAACTTTAAGACAAAGTCGGGGCTATTGGGAAGGAAGAGAAGAAACTGAACAGTGGCAGAGGAGAAGGGTTGGTCTCACCATTCTCAATCACAAAATGAAGCCCTCAGGTCCCTCTGCCGAGGTGGTGAAGCTTGGAGGGGGGTGGATGATGTGCAGGGCAAGCGTTTTGGAAGGGCCCGGGCTTCTCCATCCCTTGACCCTATGTCAGTCCCACTCTGGGGAAGGGGTGGGTACACTGGGGGATGCTAAGTTGACACTGGCTTGAGAATATGTTAGAGGCAGCAATTTCTCTCTGGTTAGATGTGGGAAGACAGCTCAGGAAGACCTAGCTGTTATGCCTCTCCAGACCTTTCCCTCATTGTTCTCTGCAGAAATGGACTCCCCAGCACCCACATTCTCCAACCCTGCTGCCGTTCTCCCTCCCTTCCTCCTCCCTGTATATTCTGCTGCTGTCTGCACCCCCAGCAGTGACTCAGCACCACAGCCCATCTGTGAGATACTAGGAGACATAGTACTTTTTCACACCCTCATGGTCTCTGGACCCCAAAGCATTGTAGGACAAGCCAAAACATGTTTATGCCTCCCCCTTGTCCAGTTAACTTCCCATGGACCTCCCTCATTGTCAGGAAAGGGGGCTGGCTATCTTCTTGGGATTACTGCCTCTCATACTTCCTTTACCCACCCACCAACATACATAGGAAGGAACACACAGCACCACCATTCTACTCCTAGGGAGGAGAGTGGAAAGGAGAGACAGGTATGAAGGTCAAGGGACTCGAAGTGGGGTTGAGCCAGGAGCTGTAAGACTAAAGACTTGAGAGGAAGAGCCAATGGAAGGAGAGAGAATATTCTGTAGGTGCAGAATATAAAGTATGCCATAAAGAAGCTAAAGCAAAGGAAGGTCCTGCCTTGTCCTAGGTCACACCCTGAAGGGTCACTGTTCTGGGACCTCCCTTGGGAGATTAACATGGAACTAGTCCCCCTCAGCCATGGGGGCCCTGCCCAGCCCAGCACATTTCCTTGCCCTATGCCCCCTATACAAGGCTTCATGAGTGACAAGGGATGAGCCAGAAGGAGGTCCCATGCCCTCCAAAGGGTTTCATCTATATAGAGAGTGCTCCAGAGCCTTAGGAAGCATGGACACCCACAAGAACACACACAGATCCTGTGTCCACTCTTTCTCCACAGGACTTTGTCTTGCTCTCAGCCTCTTACCTGAGGCTGGGGGCAGGTGCTTCGGAGGCTGCTGCTGTGATGGAACTGGTCAGCTGCCCGCCATTCATGACATCGTGGGAGGGTATAAGGGCATCCCTGCATGACCATAGGTTGCATCAGAACCAAGGCTCATGGGGGGTGAGAATGGGCAGTGCACCGACCGTTGACCATAAGCACCTGGAAAAGTAACGAGGAGAGATTCAGAGTCAAGACCCAGAAAAGGCCTATGAGCCCAACACTTACCTAACGGTGCCTTGACCGGTTATGTAAGTAAGTATTCAAAGCTTATTGGTCTACCCAGTAGTTTTTTTCCCAGTCCACCATGTACCATAAGGGACTTTATTTAATCATTGACCAAAGAAGTATTTATTGTTTATCTGTTGTGCTCTGTGCTAGAGACACCAAAATTATTTGCTGTCTGAGATCTCACAGCCTAGAGAAGAGGGTGGGGGAGATCAGGGTGAGGGGAGGCAGTCATATAAACCCATAACTATAATAAAATGCTTATGCGGCAAGTGTTATAATCGAGATTTGACTAGAAGGCTAGGGGAGCACAGACAGAGGAACAGCTAACTCTGAGAATGTGCAAAGATTTCAGAGAGATGGCGTTTGAGATGAGTCTCAAAGGACAAGTAGATGTTTGCCTATGCAGAGAAGGGGAAGAAGGGAGAAGGGTGTTCCCAGCAGAGGAACCTACCTATGCAAAAATGGATGTCACCCAAAAAAGCATAGCATGTTCAGAGCACAGTAAGTGCCACGTGGCTAGAGTTTAAGAGGCACAGAGTTGAAAAAGACACAGTGCCTGCCCCCGAGGAGTTCACATATAGAAAGAATAGACATGGGAAAAGTCAAGCCATGAAGTGTTACTTGCTTTAATAATAGAAGTATTTATGGGATGGAGTGAAGGGATAGATGAGGTGAGTTCTACCCGGTCATATCAGGAAAAGTCTCCCTAGACGAAATACACTTGAGGTGAGCCATGAAAGAGAAATCAAGATTGTCATTAGGCGGGGGAGATAAGACAAAGTAATAATAATAATAATGGTAATAATAATAATTCCCAAGAGCACAAAGTGAAATGTATGGCATGGGAAGCAGTAGACGAGGCTGGCTGTGGCCCTATCGGGTCATGCCTTGAATGATAAGCAGAGAATTCTGGGCTTTATTTCGTACACAATAGGGAGGCACTGAAGATTTTAAGCAGAAAGGTGACTCGACCAGATTTGCCTTTTAGAAAGAGCCCTCTGGCTGCCTTGTGGAGTGATTCTCCCTGGGGAAGAACCCCTTGAGAAGCTGTTATAATTGGCAAGCAGTTGCAGTGAGGAGGGAGCAGAGAGCACGGCTTATGAGATACTTACCGAAGAGGTAAAATACATGGAGCTCGGTGATCAATTGAATGTGAAGAGTGAAGGAGGTGGAGGAGTGAAAAGTTTCTAATTTGAGAGCTGGGTGCATAATGTTGCCAACAGCAAGAGACGGAAGACAGGAGAAGGAACAAATTTGGTGTGGTAGGGGATGAGGGCAGTGTGCCATAGTAAGCTATGCTTGAGACACATTCAGCTTTGGATGAGCTGAGAAAAGGAAGACATGAGTGAAAAAGTTAGATGTACAAATCAGTCAACAGTTTAGTGGATGTACACAAGTGGGATGAGAATGAGTAACAAAGACAATGCTTGCAACTGTTAAAAGTGGTATCTTTTAGTGTTGGGCATGCAAACCCTGATCCAAAGAGTAGGGAGTGTGAGCATCTTTGACTCCTGATGTTGAGGATTAAAGAGCCACCATTTTTAGTCTCTATTTCAGTGGTTCCCAACAGTTTAGGTGTAAGGGCCCCTTAAGATAAAAAGAAAGAATCGCACTTCACCCACTCATACCTACAATAGTAGCTGTACTTTCAGTACTTACAGAGCGAGAAAAAACACTTATGCATTTAAAGATCTGTGGACTTCTTGCATTGAGTGCCCTTCCCTCCTCCTCAGGGGTCCTTGGTTCAAGACTGGGGACTGTTACAGATCATAAAGATACAAGAGTTTATGGTCTGAAGGACACTTTCTTGTACTCAAAGTCTCAAGAGATTACACAGCTACATAGCTCCTCATGCCCAAAGAGATTCTCCAAAGAATGGCTGAACAGATGGCCTCCCCTCTTATCTGACACCAACATAAAATAATTAGTAACTCAGATAAAAAACCAAAGTATCACTCTAGGTGTGTTATAAGCGTGAAGGCTACAAAAGGCTTGCCTTCAGACCTCTTTTTATATTAACATTTTTATTTTCGCTGATTACACAAGTAATGCATGTTCTTTTTTTTAAGATTTTATTTATTTATTTGACAGAGAGAGACAGCAAGAGAGGGAACACAAGCAGGGGCAGTGGGAGAGGGAGAAGCAAGCTTCCTGCCGAGCAGGGAGCCCGATGCGGGACTCAATCCCAGGACCCTGAGATCCTGACCCGAGCTGAAGGCAGACGCTTAACTGAGCCACCCAGGCGCCCGGTAATGCATGTTCTTTATAGAAAAACTGGAAAACCCAAAAAAATCATAAGGATGAAAATTAAAATTACCTATAATACTACCACCCAGAAATAGCTACTACTAATAGGCGTGAAGCCTTGCAGTAGTTTTTCCATGAAAAAAATATATATCCATACATCTCCAATTGTCATCCTATGATATATATCATTTTATATTGTGCTTTTTTCACTTGCCATTTATATCATGATCATTTTAGAATGTCACTAACTATTCCTCTAAAACATGATTTCTAATGGCTGTAAAGGTGATAGAGCACTATGGTTGAGGCCATGGGCTTTGGTATCATACAGACCTAGAATCAGACCCACACTGTTCATCCTAAAAGCAGTATGGCCTGGGATGAGTTTACCTCTCTGAGCATCAGTGTTCTCATCTGCAAAATGGAGATGACAATGATACTGCCTTCAAAGAATTATTCTAATTATTAAAATTAATGAGTTTTAACAACTTAACATAGTGTTTGGCAATAGCATACTGCTCAATAAATGTTAGCTGTAATCATTGTTGTATACTACTCAGTTGAATGGATATACCATAATTTTAACGAGTAGACGTAAGTCACACTGCAATGAACAGCCTTGTGCATATCTGTGATTCTTTTCTTATGATAATTTCCTAGAAGGGAGAATTCCCGGACCAAAGAGTATGAACCAATTTCAGGCTTGCGATGCATACTTCTAAATTGCCCTAGAAAAAATAGATCACTTTATACTAACACCAGCAATGTATGAGAGTGCCAGTTTCCCAACACACTTGCCAACAGTGAGTATTCTTATTTTTATTTTTATTTTTTTAAGATTTTATTTATTTAGTTGACAGAGAGAGAGACACAGCGAGAGAGGGAACACAAGCAGGGGGAGTGGGAGAGGGAGAAGCAGGCTTCCTGCCGAGCAGAGAGCCCAATGCGGGGCTCGATCCCAGGACCCCAGGATCATGACCTGAGCCGAGACGCCCAACAACTGAGCCACCCAGTTGCCCTGACAGTGAGTATTCTTATTTTTAAAATATCTTTGCCAATTTTATAAGAGAAGATGGCATCTTGAGGAGTTCTCTGTGTTTCCTTAATTACTAAAGATGCTTAATCCTACATTTTTAGCGACCAGTTGTGTTTCTTCTTTCATGAACTATCTCTTTGTCTCTTCCGAGGTTCACCTCTCTACAAATTATAACTTCCTTCCTTCTTATTCCTCTACTGACCTGATGTCAGGTTGATGCTTCACAAAACAAAAATAAAACAAACACAGGAGTCAGAGAATTCAGATCTTCTCATCCCAGTGCAGGCAGAGAAGGCATAAACTCCTTCTGGTCCTACCTTGATTATCCTCTGCTGTTTTCAGGCTTTGCCACTGACTATGACGTCAAGTCATTTCACCTCTCTAGACCTTGGTTTGCTACCCCATAAAACATTAATGTGTAAGAGGTGTCAAACATCAAAATACTAGCATTCCCTGTGTTTGTAGAGCCTGCTGTACTGTGTTTCTTGGTCCTCAGTGCAACCTGGTAAGGTTTGGCCCAGCCAGATTTATGATCCTATTTGAGAGATGGAGATGCTGAGACACAGGTGAGCTGGGGCCTCCTGACTCCTGGCCAGTGTCCTTTGTTCTACAAAAACATTCTTCCTTCTGCCTCTCTATTTATCTCCATGATGTCCCACATTACCACCTGTACATACTGATTCTCTTCCTCCCCCCCCCCCCCCCCGCTGAGCAGGAGCCCGATGCGGGGCTCTCTATCCCAGGACCCTGGGATCGTGACCTGAGCCAAAGGCAGACGCTTAACAACTGAGCCACCCAGCCTCCCCCCTATTCTCTTCCTATCCCTCCTTTTAATTTGCAGAGGCTGGGAGGAATTGGAGATGAATCTCAGTCCCCAGATGGCCAAGTGTAGGAGATAAGACATATTTTTAAGAAGTATAACTTAGGGGAAAAAATGATTCATACCTTATGTGGGACACAGAAACCATGCCATGAGAGGTCACAGAAGAGGAAGCATTCGCCTTAAATTGGAGGGATTTAGGATGTATTTATGGAAGAGATCCTTTTGAGCTAAGGTGAGAGAGAAGATTTGTACACATGGAGTAGTGCGAAGGATGCTTTCGGGGTGGAGCTAGCTCTTCTGTGCCTTCCCCTAGGGATCCTGCTTGATACCAAAGCTGTGGCTTTTTGCTACTAGGAATGTTCTTCCTGGTTTTCAAAGCCACACACAGGCCCTTCCAGAAAGATTCAGGGGGGGAGACATTATTTCTCTTAGGCAGAGATAAAAGCTTTAAAACATTTGGGAAATACCAGAATTCTAACATGAAAACCAAATTATTGGCTATTGGAGGACAAGGTCTGTATCTGATATTTATTTCTATCTCACGTATTTTTTTTAAGATGGTGGCAAGTACACAGCAGGCACTCGGTGAATGTTTCCTGACTGATTTATGGAACTGAACTCCAACTAGGTCAGTGTACAGTTCCTCAACTTTGTACGTACAAATCCCAGAAGGCATGAAAAAAAACACTTTGGATACATGTATTTATTTGCATTTGTGTAAAGTGATGTATATAGAATGTTAGCATTTGAAGCAAGCCTTGAAAGGGCAAAAAAAAATTGTAAACAACCTAAATTTCCATTACTAGGGGACTAGTTAAATAAATACTGGTATAGGGGCACCTGGGTGGCTCAGTCGTTAAGCGTCTGCCTTTGGCTCAGGTCATGATCCCAGGGTCCTGGGATCGAGCCCCGCTTCGGGCTCCCTGCTCAGTGGGAAGCCTGCTTCTCCCTCTCCCATTCCCCCTGCTTGTGTTCCCTCTCTCTCATCTCTCTCTCTCTCTGTGTCAAATAAATAAATAAAATTTTTTCTAAATAAATAAATAAATATTGGTATATCCATACAATGGAATTCTATACAGCGGTTAAAAACGTAATTAAGAACACTTTATGTATCTCTTAGGACATAATTTTAAGTAAAAAGAAAAGAAGAAAAAATAAGGTGGTTAGTTTACATTTGTGTAAAACCAAAAGGAAAGTATGTGCTTATCGATGCAAAACAATTACATGGGATAAAATAAAAGAATACAAAAGAATCTGTTAATATTGATTGGCTTCGGAGAAGGGAGCCAAGTGACTACCAGACAGAGGTGGGAGAATTCCCTCCATTCTTTAGGGATTTTCTCTCTTTAAAACTGAGAAATATAATACACTTAACAAAGAGTGCGTAAAACAGATGTGTAAAATATACTGAAATATCATAAAGCAAATTCCCATATAGTCACTGCTTGGGTTGAAAAATAGAATCATTACCCACACTCACAAAAGCCCTGTGCCACCCACAAGAGATGCAGTTTTTACTGACTATCCTTTTGTACCCTGTCAATATTAGCTCTTTAACAGGCACTTCCTCCCTTCCTTCCCACTCCTCACTAACATGCCGTGGACATCTTCAGCAGTTTTCTGTAAAGATTAGTGCAGCGGCTTTTCCACAGCCAAATAAATAATAACAGTGAAAACTTACTGTATTCCAGGTTTTTCATCATTAATCAGTCTACATAATCAAGTCACTTAATCTTCATGACAACCCCATGAAGGGGTTGCTATTCTCTTCATCGTGCGGATAGGAACACAGCAGAACAGAGGCAGTAAGTAACCGGTTCAAAGTGATATTGTGAATTATGGGGTGAGGAGCTGGGATTTGTATCCGGGGCAGATGTGTCCCAGAACACAAGTTCTTCACTGTTCACACTATTCTGCCTCTGGAACTTCTAGAACGCAGGCCCTGAGGCACTGTAGTCACTGACCCCTAGAGCAAGCAGAGATTTTTTTTTTTTTTTTTTTTTTTGGCTATGGGCCACCAGGGGGGAGCCCAAGCACTTGACTCAGTCATGCCGCACCCAGGCAAAGGCACAAGCAATTAAGAGGATGTAGTGAGTCTGGGGGTCTGGGGGGATCACCGAGCTGGCAAACCCTACATTTCAATGACTTTCCTAGGACATCTGAGAAGTAAAATTCTGGTCAATTCTCCTAGTCTCACCTCTGAGCTCCTCCTGTGCCTTTAGAATTCAGTAGATATATATTTTTTTTAATGAACGAATAAAGTCTACCTAGAAACTAGAGAAGTCTAGGCACCCATCCTACAGAAATACTTGCGGAAATGGATGAGGATATCTGCTGCAGTATTGTTTGCGATCGCAAAACTTTGCCATCAACTCAAGTGGTCATTACCAGGGGACCGGGTGAGTGGGCTATTGTCAAGAGAGGCGGCACAGCGTGACAGTTAGGGATGTGGGCTCTGAGCCAGGACACCCAGGTTTGCATGCTGGCTCCACTACTTATCAGCACAGGTTTGGACAAGCCCCCAAGCTTTACATCCCTACATCCGTAAACCAGGGATAACGAAAAGACCTACCTCATAGCCTGGTAGCAAGGAGCTCATTCATGGTTTCTGACACCTAATCTTACCTATTAATACAGCCACTCATGAAATGAAATATTATGTAGCTGTTAAAAAGAGGTAGATTGGGTGCCTGGGTGGCTCAGTCGGTTAAGCGGCTGCCTTTGGCTTGGGTCATGATTCCAGGGTCCTGGGATCGAGCCCCACATCTGGCTCCTTGCTCAGCAGGGAGTCTGCTTCTCCCTTTCCCTCTGCCTCTCCCTCTGCTTGTGCTCTCTCTGTCTCTCTCTCTCAAATGAATAAATACAATCTTTAAAAAAGAAAGGTAGATCTATATACACTGATGTAAACAGATATTGAAAATATGTATTTTAGATAAAAGAAGTTCAGAATAATATGTCTGAGAGAACACCAATTATGCAAAAAGCTTTTGAAAAAAATCTATATGTGCATATGCATAGAAGGAAAGCGTGCAAGGAGACACAAAACCGCTCAGCAACATTATTTCTCGGGGAGTTGTGTGAGGGGGATTCTCCCTTTGACTTCATACACTTCGTGTATGTGTATATATACGTGTGTGTATATATACACAAACGTATGTATACATATATACACATACACATACATTTACATGTATGTATTTTATAACAAGCATTTATTATTCTTGGGAGAAAAATAAATAAATAGGGAAGACTTTTAAATCATGAGAGGCTTGGCAAAGAACCAGGCAGTGGGAAGAAGACCCCCTTCCCATGTGCTAGAGATTCCTCTCTCCAATCCAAGGTAACACTGAATGATGGCACCCCCTCTCACAGCACTGCCTTTCTACCTGACACCATGGCACTAAGAGAGAAGACACACATCTCATTGGTGCTGAAGCTTGTTATGTGTTCCTAAAATAATTCTTGCAAGGTAGCCAAAAACTGAGGTTCTGCTTCAGATGCTCTCCCTTAATGAATAAATCATGGAGACTCGGATTGTCAAACTGGAAGGGACCTTAGAGATTATCTAGACCAACCCCCCCATTTATTTTTTTTTAAGATTTTATTTCTTTATTGGACAGAGAGAGAGAGAGCCAGGGAGCACAAGCGGGGGGAATGGCAGAGGGAGAGGGAGAAGCAGGCTCCCTGGGAGCCCGATGCGGGGCTCGATTCCAGGCCCCTGGGATCATGACCTGAGCCCAAGGCAGATGTTTAACCAACTCAGCCACCCAGGCGCCCCCAACCCCCTCATTTACAAACAGAAAGAATGAAATGTGTTCCTGAGAAGTTAGTTGTCAAGCAATCTCGAGAAATGAGATTTTTCTCATTTCTCTCATTCTTTTCTCCAGTGGAAAGAATCAGAGATGCATCCCCATGGGGAGCATTTTATTCTAAGGCCAATTAATGCAATACATCTGAAACCTCTATACACTGCTGGTGGGAGTATAAGTTAGTAAACCATTTTGGACAGCAATCTGACAATATCTCCCAAAGGTGAAGATTCTCATACCCTGTGATGGAACGATTCCTTTCTAGATAGATACCCAAAAGCAACAGTCACCTAAGAATATCTATAAAAGAATGATCATAATAGCCCTGTGAGCCAAAAACTGGAAGCAGCCTAAATGTCCATAAACAGCAGAATGGATAAATAAATCATGGCATATTCATTAAATGGAATGCTACACAGTGGCGAAAAAAATAAGTGACCTAGAGTCACATGTCACAACATGGATGATTCACAAATATAACAGTGAATTTTTAAAAATTGGACCAGAATATATCCCACTGATATAAATTTTTAAACCACGAAAAGAAGTGGTATATGTTTTTTAAAGACACATACGTATGTAGTAAAAGTATAAATAAGTGCATGAGAATCATAAACACCAAATCCAGGAGAGTGGTTACTTCGGAGGGAGGTGGTGGGGGGAGGAGGGAGTTTTAATCGTAGAAGGATAGACAGAGGGTTTCAAGTCTACTGGTGATGTTTCTTTCTTAGGCTGAAAATGGTGGGTATTTGGATTCTCATTATGTCATTCTTTGTATCTTTTTGAGCATAGAAAAAATTTTCACAGCACATTGGTTGAAAGAATGCAACAAATCTCACGGTGAAAAGAATCCACACTTTTCAGATGTAACAAAATACCAAAAGAAATGTGTAAGATCCAAATGCTGACCTCCAAATGACAGGAATATTCCTTAAACCTGTTTCATTTTCCTGGGACTAGTTTCACAGGAGGGAACCTGCCGGAGAAGCAGCAGTAAACTGAGAATCAGGAGATGAGGGTTCCACTCTCTCAGATACTCACCAGCTTTGAAAAGGAGAACAATTTGATTTGCCTCTCAATTTTTCTCGCATTTAAAAAGGCAGTATTGGACTAGATTATCTGATAAGTTTTTTTCCATGTGACAATTTCTCCCAGCTTTTTTTGGTTCCGGGATTTTTAAGCCGCAAGTCCCAAAACTGTGTCTGCTAAAGTGTTTTCCATGTAGAAAAGCGTTCCCTGGTCAAATCCGTTTGGGATCTACTGGGTTAAACAAAAGTAAACGGATTTATTTATGGCAGTCCGGCTCAGAGCCTTTTAATACACTTATATATACATTGTGACTCTCTAAGAGAAGAATTCGGTTTTGAAGCATTTTCAAAAACAAAAAAAATATTGGACCACAGAATGCACCCCCACACTACCACCACCACCACTCCTTATTTTAAAAACAGAATCTATTAACATTCTCTCAGAACAGTGTTCTGTGAGACATCAGTGTGGTAAGTGCTGTCCAAGAAGGAATTTGTCTCACTTGCTATTTCAGTTGCAGATGTGTGTGTAGAATCCCTTATAAGGGAGAAATGTCATCTCACGGTATAGCTCCCCATAGAATGGGTTTCTTCTGAGTGTCCCTGGCCAGTTGAGAAGGATTATCTGCTTGGGCTTCATGAGTGACAGCCCCTCCTATCTGGCTCTGTGGCAGACTGAACATCAGAAACTTCTGGGGATCTATACTTAGAAGTGCTGCATCCCAGATACACTCTCTAATTCTGGCTCTTGGGCCTCTGTTAAGTTTGCTGCTTCAAGCCATACTTCCTCCTCTGGGTGATTTTGGAACTGAAGGGTGCTCTGGCGCAGAGCTCCAGAGATACTTGGCAGGAGAGCAGAATGCCTAGGGGAACAACTTTCCATGTGTCTTCTCCCCCCCCCACCCCCCGCAAGAGTTTGCAGGAAGCAGGACTGCAAGCAAGATGAGGACCCAGCCAGGAAAAGAGGGACTCTGTCTTCTTACAGGGACACGACACTTATCACCTTCACTCGCAGCACCTCCTTTTCAGGGAGGGTTTCCATAGAAGGCTCCCAAGTTCTCTGGAACCATATCCCACAGGGCCTCTTAAAAGGTGATGTACCTGAGGGCCTTTAGTCCAGAAACAAGGATTCCTTTGGAGAAGTCAGGAACTCAGGTGAACTAGACCTAGAGCATTTTAAAGGCTTTCGGTTCTTTTGAACGATCAAAAAGAAAACAGAAAAGTCCGTTCTCTTGCATTCGGCATGCACCATGCTATCGATGGAAACAGGCAGCAGCTGCTGTCTCGATTCCACCCCGCCCCAGGCCAGCCCAGCTACCTGCTTGCACCCAACACCCAGGAGGCCTAGCCCTGCCTGCCTAACAAAGGTGGGATAAACCGTAGCTACCCACACAGTATCGGGCCCGCTTCCCAGGCTGGGGTGTTGGGCCCGGTGCCAGGGAAGGTACGGAGCCCAGAAGAAGCAGGGTGCTTGACTCCAGGAGAGGTGAGCCCCATTGCACAGCACGCCAAGCTCCACTTTCAGGAGTGCAGAGGTACCTCCTGATTGCACAGGGTAGGAAGGAAAGCAAGGGAAGAAGCAGAGGGCTTCAGGGAAGATGGACTGAACCAGGAAGCAAGGGCGGAGAGTAGGATGCGCCTTCAGCACCAGACTCCTAAGGCAGAGCCCAGTCTACTCCAGGGAGGCTCTCCTGTGTCCTGTGTGCGGACTAGACATTCATCTGCTCAGGAGACCTGCTCTGAGGTCCCACGTTTCCTCTCTCCTCCCTTTTCAGCCAGTGCTTTCCACACCCCTTCCCTTCCCTCCCGCCAGGAAATCCACCCTTGGACGAAAAGCATATCATTGAGAACAAACACAAATGAACAAACAAACAAGCAAGCAAAGAAAGAAAGAAAGAATAGCCCTCTCTTCTCTAAGAAGCAAACTGTGGACCTTCCTCTTATTCATTAGTTGCTCACATTGGCTTGAGTTTCTGTTGTTCCTGGGCACCTTTTTGTCCGCCCCCCCTCCCCCGGAGTCCAAGCAGTGGCCACTTCATCGGGGGCATTTGTTTTTAATGCAAGTTTCCCCCCAAAGGCACACATGCAGGCAGCAGGTAGCGGGACACACACACACACACACACACACACACACACACACAGAGTACCTCTGGCGCGTCCCTTCCCTCAGTCCTTTCCCCTCAGCCAGCCGAAAAAGGAGAAAGGGCGAGGCTGGGGCATCATCTCTCCGTGGCCTACCTTCGGATTCCGACAGGTCTGAGGAGCAGGCTGCAACTGGGAGCTGGCAGGCCGGCGCGGGGCTGCCTCTGTGAATCAGCAAAGGAGTCCCTGAGACAGGGATGCCGCCAGCTGCTGGAGGCACACTCTCCCTCCGTCTCTCCCACCTTACTGCCCTCTTCTCTGTCTCCCCTTCCCCCTCCGCTCTCAGAGCCGCTGGGTGTTGCTATGCAATCGCATCAGGACTAACAGCGTCGCTCCGACCTCCAGCAAAGGTACCCTTGACTGGGCGAATGCAGAAAGCGCAAGGACAGTTTTGTGAAACTACCAGAGCCTTAGCGGCTCTCGCGGAGATTTCAGTTCATGAGAAGCAGAGGAGGAAAGCGGAAGAGGCTGAGAGGCAGATGCGGGGGGGGGGGGGGGGGGGGGGGGGAGAGGCTCCCACTGGGGAGGAGGAGACAAAAGAGGCCCGGAGATCAATACAAGCGGCTGAGTGAGGAGCCTGGGCCCCAACTTCCCCAGATCTAGCCCAGAGCCAAAGCCAACTTCAGAGCCAGAAGCTGGCAGGGTCCCTCAGTAGCCAGTCCAGGATTCGGCTTCTGTGCTGGAGGTTGAAACACTCTGCTCTAGAATTGTCGCTGGTACCCAAGGCACAGCCTTGGGCCAGGGCAGACCTCCAGTCATCCCCAAAGTTCTCCGCTCACCCCTGTTAGAGCTATGTGGAGGAAAAAACCTCCACGATGAGGGAGATAAAGTGGACCCTGAATGATTGGAGAAAATATTTTTCCTCCATGCCTCGCCTCAGCAACGACCCCATTCTCCCCGCTTCTGTCCACACCAGCCCCTTACTCCTCTATCACCCCTGTTGAAGAGAAGAGGGTATAAGCCCCAAACACCCTGAGAGAATTCAGAAGATCCACTCAATGGACAGAGGGGATTATATCCCTTTACAGAGTGCCCGGCACACAGTAGGTTACTTAATATTTGTTAAATGAGTAAATTGGGTGGATGCATGGATGGATGGACGGATGGATTGAATAGCAGTCAAAAAGTCACCGTCACCGGGGGCACCTGGGTGGCTCAGTCGTTAAGTGTCTGACTTCAGCTCAGGTCATGATCTCAGGGTCCTGGGATCAAGCCCGTGTGGGGCCCCCTGTTCCTTGAGGAGTCTGCTTCTCCCTCTCCCTCTGCCCCTCCCCCTGCTTGTGTGCTCGCACACACTCTCTCTCCCTCTGTCAAATAAATAAATAATCTTTTAAAAAAAAGTCACCATCCCCATCCTCCTACACAAACATACTCATACGTAAAGCTCTAGCAGCTCCAGGCCAAGGCAAAGGATAAGAGAAATCTTCTTTCCTCCTTCCACTTCTGAGAACAAGGTGCACGAAAGAGAGAAACAGATTGGTTTGGGGGGGGGTGGGGGTGTTGCTTAACTTCAGTGATCTGCATCTAAAAATTCTATAAGCCCTGATGGCACTGGAATGTAGATCAGAACATAAGACTTGGGTCTAGTGTTTACAGAGTGTCTACAGGGATTGAGAATTATTATTGTTGTTGTTGTTGTTGTTATTGAAAATCCTCAGCTAGGAAATAATTAGTGTGTAAGTTATGTGTGTGTTTTCTTTTGAGATGAGATTTTTAAAAACTTCGGCTGCTGTTTCCAGTACAAGTTTAACGATAAGGCCTAATCTCTACAAAACAAGCAAACAAAATGGGAACCAAATGCCCTCTGCCCGCCCCCCAGATAGGCTTTCAGAGCTGTTTGCCCCTCCTGCTTGGCCAAACCAGGAGCAGCCAGGCCTCCACGAAGGCGCAGAAAGGACCTTTGATTTCTGAAGGAACTTTTGGAAGCACATCCAGCTTCTCAATCTACACACCCTCAACAGAGCATTTCTTAGCTCCTCAGCCTAGCCCGGAACTGGCCCTGAGTCCCAGCCCCAGGCTTAGCCCTGGCAGCTTGCAGGGCTTCTCAACACCATCCAGACCTAGGGCCCCAGGAGTCCTTTACAACTGACTTGGAATGACCTGGAAGGGAGAGTTGACTCGAAGAACAACCGGAGGGAACAATCTGAGAAATTATTTGGGCTAGCACAGATGCAGAATGACCACAACAGACATACACCAAACCCTACTCACCCTGACTCACTACTTACCCTGGCACCAGCTCACCAGTAGGCCAAACAAAACCAGAGTCTAGGTCTAGACGGAGGAAGGAGAGTGAGGCGGATGGAGTACTTGCTCCCGCTTTGGCTGCAGGTGGCCTTATCCAGATCACAGGGGGCCCTTGGAATAATCCTTTTCTTTTTCTACCTCAAGAGAAAGCATTCAGCCTGCAGATAGAAAAGGACAGTATCTGCCTCCACGAAAATAAGCCCACAGAGTTTGTTTTGAGGGGTATAAGAAAAGGCTTCCCCAAATCTCTTTCCCGCTGACCCCATCATGACGGACAAGACCTCCCCTCCTTATTTCTCTGTTTAAGGCACCAACGGCTCCTGTGAAAATGGGAAGGGCTTTGCATACATTATTTGCTCATGTTATCCTCACCACACACTTAAAATAGCTTCTCATATCGTCCCCACTTTACAGATAAAGCACTGTGACATAGTGAGGTTAAATGACTTGTCTAAGGTCACACAGCTGATGTGTGATGGAGGTTAAGACTTATTCTCGATCTCTCTGGGCAACATCCACCTGATGAGCCACTGCTAAGGGCTTCTGTTCATCCAGTCCTGGCCTGAACAGATGCCAGGCCTAGGTAGGTCACTGAGACAAATGTGACTAGAGCAGAAGAATTCCCCAGAGAGTTGTTCTATCCTTTGTATCTTTCTCAAGTTATTTCCTCTACTCAAACTGCCTCCCGTCCTTTGGTTAGCGACACAGGGACCTTAGAGGCCAGAGGTCTCTCCCTGAAGAATTCCAAGTGAGCAGACCCCACAAAAGAAATTGGTTAAGGGGTGCCTGGTGGCTCAGTTGATTGAGCATCTGATGCTTGGTTTCGACTCAGGCCATGATCTCAGAGTCCTGGGATCGAGCTCCGCGTTGGGCTCCACGCTTGGCGTGGAGTCTGTTTGTCCCTGTCTCTCTCTGCTCTTCCCCCTGTTCTTTCTCTCTCTCTCATAAACAAATAAAATCTTTTTTTAAAAAAAGAAAGAGGGGCGCCTGGGTGGCTCGGTCGGTTAAGCATCTGCCTTCGGCTCAGGTCATGATCTCGGGGTCCTGGGATCGAGCCCCGCATCGGGCTCCCTGCTTAGGGGGGAACCTACTTCTCCCTCTCCCTCTTCCTCTCCTCCTGCTTGTGCACTTTCTCTCCCTCTCCCTCTCTATCAAATAAAGAAATACAATCTTTTTTTTTTTTTTTAAGAAAGAAATTGGTTAAGGCCGTTCATGGAGTATGAAAAGGAAAAGACAAATGATCTTGAGATGAGATGGAGTTCTCCGGTTTGCCATGGTTCCCACGTAGCCTATGGTACTTCTCTACTTTCCTGTATTTGGTCAACTTGCTTAGCTCCTGTGGGCTTTTCACTATGTGCCATCTCACAGGCCACCGAAGGTACATACCTTATTGTTGTTGGTCTCCTGAGGCATTTGGAGAAGAGTTGTGTGTTTTGTTTCCTGGAGGGTGTTGGGATAGACAGAGTTTCTAGTTGTGTTGCAAGAGAGGTAAGATCTTTCCTTATCAACTAGACACATAAGTCCACTCTGACATTTATACCCCAAGGAGACTCTTTCGCACCCAGGGGACATCTGGACAAACCAGAGCAAGCACATAGGCTAGCTTTAACTATTTCCCTGAGGAGGGCAGAGAAAAATCAAAGTAGTTTGGGCCATAAGCTCTGACTGTGGCTTCACCTTGATAACCTGTAGAAGGATGCCTGAGACCCATCCTGGTATCATTGAGCAGGACTCTGCTGGGTGGACAATAGGTTAGGCATTTCTCGGTAGGTAGAGAGAAAGCGTGTGCAAAGGCACAAAGTGCAGAGAACTCAGCTTGCTAAGGGACTGCAAGTACTAGTTAAGTATGGTTAAGTTAAGGTAGGGATATGGGTGGGAAATGGGAGGTGGCAGGAGATGAAGCTATGGAAGCACACGAGAAGGTGCTAGAACACCATGCTAAGGTTCATACAAGATAATTTTCAAAGGCAAGCAGCATGATCAGATTTATGGTTTAGAAATATTATTCTAGGGCACCTGGGTGGCTCAGTTGGTTAAGCGACTGCCTTCGGTTCAGGTCATGATCCTGGAGTCCCAGGATCGAGTCCCACATCGGGCTCCCTGCTCAGCAGGGAGTCTGCTTCTCTCTCTGACCCTCTTCCCTCTTGTGCTCTCTATCTCTCATCCTCTCTCTCTCAAATAAATAAATAAAATCTTAAAAAAAGAAATATTATTCTAATGGCTTTCATTTCAATAGGATGATAAGTGCAATGAAGGATGAATTGGAGAGGAGAAACGCCAGAAGCTTGGATGCTGAGTAGGAGGCGGTTGCAGGTACTCATCTGTTGGGGGCCTGAACCAGAGGAGTTGGTAGTGAGGGTGAAACAGTATCCTCTCAGGGTGCCTGGTGGCTTAGTCGGATAGGCGTCTGCCTTCAGCTCATGTCATGATCCCAGGGGTCTGGGATCAAGCCCCGCCCCGTGGTAGGGGTTCCCTGTTCAGCGGGGAGTTGGCTTCTCCCTCTCCCTCTGCCTCTCTGCCGGCTCGTGCGCTCTCTCTCTCTCTCAAATAAATAAATAAAATATTAAAAAAAAGTACCCTCTCCCAGTGGATCTTCATCATACGATCTTTTCTTTTTTTTCATTTCTTCCTAGCCTATTTGCTAATAGTCATAAGCGAAATAAACTGTGAATAGTTTTTTCGTCCTTTGGGGAGGCGCATGGGGGGAGAGGTAGCCTAGGTAATGCCCATTGCCGTTCCACAACCTTATTCATTGGCTCCCTGACCATGTTTACCAAAACTACTTGAAATTGTTTCTACTCTTCTCAAACGCCCAACCCAAGCCCACCTACTTCAGCAAATAATCTCCATTCTTGCTTTACTGAGAAGGTAGGAGCTACTCTGGCAAATTCTTTTCTGCCTCAGAATTTCTTCCAGTTTTCTTCCCTTTCTATCATCCCCAGACAAAGCAAACCCCCATTTTCCCCCTCCTTAAGGTCAATACCTCTGCTCATGATCTCACAACATTCTCTTCCTATCTCCTCTGGGACTTTTTCCATAAATTTTCTCTCTCTTGCTTTCATCTTCAGTCTTTTCCTTGCCTCTGACACTGTCCCTACTGTCTAAAAACATGTGAGGAGCAGGAATTCTGTTGACTTCTGTGAGCTGAAAAGTGGGAAGAATGTTTCCCTACTAGAGAAAGGCCCCCCTCACACCTAC